CCTCGGGTCCTAATTTGGTACCCTTCATCTAACATAAGTAAGTTTTATTATTGTTTTCACTATTAACCCTAACCTTTTTTCCTTTAAATGATTCTTACTTGTTCACGTTTGCAGTAGAGAGGCGTCTCTTGTGCCCAGTTGGACGGGCCAAGATTCAGAGAGCTATTGAAGGAGTACCCAAGCTTCTTTGGAGTTTAATTACCCCTGAGAGACTTATTTTCCTTGGTCTCAGTCCCCCACTTTTAATTATAAAGGAAATCCCTTATGATGATGAGGGACTAGCTACAATTTTGGAGGATAATGATGTAGAGCCAGCTGTGGAGCCGGAGTTGATATTGCAACCTTACGCAAGCAGAGCTGGGAAGATGGGTCTTCTTCATATGGGAAACGACATATGGGGTTTGGTTGAGCTTTGACAATGCTACTTTTTGTTTTTTCTTTTTATAAAAATTATAAAGTTCACAGTTTGTTGTTGGGATTTAACTCGATTTAAATCCACTAACAAACACACACAATCGAAGAACAAATCAAGAATATAAAACAATAAGAAACAAGAAAGAACAAGACACAGATTTTACGTGGTTCGGCAATTTGCCTACGTCCACGAAGCTGCAGGGATTTCACTATTGAGAAAGTTGAATTACAGAGAGCGGCTGTACAATCCACACAAAACCCTAATCACCAAAACAACAGGGTTTATATGTCCTATGCACTGGGCTGTATAACGGGCCCAAAAAAATTGTCCATGAGCGCTACGCTCCATGGACTAAGCCTCAGAAAATTTTTCATTAAAAACCACACAACATTATTTCGGGTCGGGTTATCATCCGGATCACATATACAAACTAGACTCCATAAAAAAAATCATCATTTGTTAATAGATGAACGTTTTTTTAGCTTCTATACTATTTTCCCTGCCCCTTTAACTTTTGGAAGAATTTTAACTTTGTAAAAGTAATTTCTGAACTTTATTTAAACTAACTGAGGTACTTGAGAGTCCCAATCTTGCTTCTATTGAGTTAAATAGACTCAATCCAAGCTAGGCGAGGGCTTGAAAGTCCCGTCTTCACTTTTGTTGAGTCGAATAGACTCCATCTGAGCTAGGCAAGGGCTTGAAAGTCCCATATTTGCTTCTGTTGAGTCGAATAGACTCAATCCAAGCTAGGCAAGGGGCTTGAAATCCGGCCTTTACTTCTGTTGAGTAGATTAGACTCAATTCGAGCTACGCGAGGGGCGTGAAAGTCCAAATTTCATGCTTGCTCATCATAGAAGAATAGAAAAAAAAATTGTTCTTTTATTGAAAAGGAGATAACATAGTTTTTTTGTGAGGCAAGTACATTGAAGTGAAGATTCTTGTAAGTAAGGATCAAAATGTTGTGTCGACACGTTCGAAATGTTTCAAAATTTCAACACTCCAAAACGAAACAGTAGTTGAATCACAAAATTCCAGTGTTCGGTCGAAACGGTACTGTTTCGGACCGTTTCGGTCGAAACAACACTGTTTCGGACTGTTTCGATCGAAACAGTACCGTTTCATCGAAACAGTGATATATTCGGTTCACTATAAATAATTATATTTAATACTCCACTATAATTATATTTAATATCCACTGTAATTATATTTAATACCCACTATAATTATATTTAATACCCCACTATAATTACATTTAATTCCCACTGCTCTTCTGCCTTTTATAATTTTTTTGTTATAAGAATAAATAATTATATTTAATACCCTACTGTAATTATATTTAATACTCATTGTAATTATATTTAATACCTACTGTAATTATATTTAATACCCCACTGTTATGCAAGTCTTTTGCTTTTTTTTTTTTGTTATAAGTATTAACAATTATATTTAATATCCTAATGTAATTATATTTAATATCCACTGTAATTACATTTAATATCCACTATAATTATATTTAATTTTTAAGTATACATAAGTATCATTAATTTAATTTGATACCCTTCATTATTAGTATTATAATAAAATAATATTATTAATTGGATAATATTACCGTAATAATATGAGTTGGAGTAACTATTGTCATCATATTTATGTCACATATGAAGTTTCTCTAAGTAGCTACCCAGAGCCTATACCGATGTATGAGTTCGCTCAACACTCCATAGGGGAATGGATGTAGTCATGTAAGTATGTACTCATTAGCATTTCATGTGTATTATAAGACCTTAATATTATGTAAAAATGTGTTTATTTCATAAAAATTAAGTATTTGAAACTAATTTAAGTGATTTTTGCCTCATGTCAAACTTTTTTTTTCCTCAAATTTAAATTTATTCTTGTATAAATGGATGTTAACCCAATAAATATGTTGAAATAATCAATTATTTAGCTTATTTTTATAAATTAAAGAATTGTATTTGTGTTTTTATGCGTTTCCATATTTTTTTTGCGTTTCCGAAACGATTTCATTTTTGAGCTGACTGAAACAGTACTTCGAAACGAAATTTCGATCCTTACTTGTAAGTTACTGGTAAAATATTTTTATGTGCTCCGCATTTCAAGAATATGGTAATTTTGTTCCTCCTAGAGTTTCTAGATGATAAGTCTCAGATCTTACTATCTTTATGACCCGATAGGGTCTTTCCCAAGATGCCCCCAACTTCCCTTCTCCAGGATTCTTAGTTGCTTAGGTGACTTTTCTGAGTATCTAGTCATTGAGCATGAATTGCCTTAGCTCGTACTCGAGTATTGTAGTATTTGGAGACCTGACTTTGATATGCCGCCATCCTTGTTTGGGATTATTCTCTCTTCTCCTCGAGCCAAGTAAGGCAATTTGCCAGTAGCTGATCATTCATGCTGAGATCCAACTCTTTGGTCTGATTAGTTGTCATCCCAATTTCTGCCAGGATAATTGTTTTCGTTCCAAAGGCCAAAGAAAAAAGTGTCTCCCCTATTGGTTCCCTTTACTGTGGTCCTATATGTCCACAGGATATACGGGAGTTGTTCTACCCAAAGACCTTTGAACTGTTTTAATTTGGTCTTAATGTTCCGTAGCAAAGTTCGGTTAGTCACCTCTGCTTGGTTGTTCGCCCGTGGATGACCAGTGAAAGAATAGAGATTGTGAATCCCAAGTTTGAAGTAGAACTCTCTAAATTTGTCATTATCAAACTATTTACCATTGTTGCTTATTATGACAGCCAGTATACCGAATCTACAAACAATTGACTTCCAGACAAACTACTTGGTGAAATAGTCTATTACAACAACTGTAAAACTATTTTGGCCTTTCCTTACTAGGAGTGGTCCTATAATATTGATTCTCCATTTAGCAAATGACTATGGCCTTGTAATTAGAGTGAGTTTCTCTACTGGGAGTCTTGGAACCGCGACAAAATTCTGACATTTTTCACACCTCCACACATAGCTCAGAGCATCATTCCTCACAGTGGGCCAAAAGTAGCATTGTCTAAGGATCTTTTGAGCCAAGGAATGACCCCTATAGTAGTGCCCACATTTTATTTCATGGACTTCTTCCAGTACATAGGCAAATTCTCTTGGAGTTAAACACCTTAAATATGGAAGTGAGTAATATCTCTTATAGAGTACTTGGTTTAGGGTCACATATCTTGAGGCTCTTATCCTTAGCTTCTGAGCTTCCTGGTTTTCTTGAGGTAGTATTTAATGCTGTAAATATGCCATTATTTCATCCATCCAACTCGAATTTTACTGAACTAGGTTGGTGTTAATACTGCAAGTACTTGACCCTGTCAAATACTCTATTGATATGGTTTTAGTTAGACTATTAGAGAGCGTGGAGGCTAGTAGAGCTAGTGAATCTGCATGTGAGTTTTGTGATTGCGGGACTTGAGTAATCTTGAAGTGTTCAAAGCATGTGATATTTTCTGTTGCAATTTTCAAGTAGGAACTCATTTGTGGATCTCTCGCTTTAGAGTCACCATGAAGACATTTTACCACAAGTTATGAGTCACTATGCACATTAAGGCTCTTCATCCCTTCCAATGAGCATTTAGTCCAATGGTACTCCTTGTCGTATAATAATTTTGTTTTCTTGAGGTTAAGAGTTCAAGTCTACTTCATCCCCTAAAAAAAAACCCAAAAAAAAAAAAGATCTTCAGCCCTAGGACTGCTGGAGTCCTGTGATGAGAGCCTCATATTCCACATTGTTATTTGAGCCCTTGAATCCAAAACATAATGCATACTTAATCTTCTTCTTAGTTGGTGAGATAAGAATTAATCTATTTCTTCTTCCAGTTGAATTGGAGGACTCATCTACATACATTTATCAGTCCCCTATTTGAACATCAACATCATTAAGCTCTGGTGCCTCAAGGGCAAATTCTACTAGGAGGTCAGTAGTTACTGGCCCTTTATAACTATTCAGGGGACATGCTGGATGTCGAACTCCTTGAGCTTGATGGACCATTTTGCTAATCGTCCGAATATCTCTAATTTCTGAATAACTTGGCGTAAGGGTACATTAGTAAATAATATAACGGGATGAACTTGAAAAAAGGATCTCAATTTTTTGAATGCAGTTACCGGCGTGAAGACTATCTTCTCTATCGTTGGGTACCTTATTTATACTCGTCTTACCACAAGTTGTGAGTCATTATGCACATTAGCATAAAAACACGACATAGATGTCATTTATCTACCATTAAACATAGTATTGTTCTCAAGGGTTTTTTGGGATAAAAATAAGTGATTAGATTGAGCTAAACATGTCGCCGAAGTGAAAGTATAAATTAGTAACGCAACACGATTCTAAGAAAGTATAAATTAATAACACAACAAATTTGAAGGACCAAAGTAAAAGTTTATTCAAATTTCAAGGGCAAAAAAGTGTAATTCTCCCAAAAATGAAAACCAACCGCCTTAGGCACGGCACACGGATTGCAAGGGCGGGAGCCTCACCCCTCAAACAATTTCCCCCCCTCCTCCTCTCTCTCTCACGGAAACCCTCTCAAATCAAGAGGCAAGGGTTTCCATCTTCTTCGCTCTTACGATGGCCGAAGAGGCTGAGGCTGAGACTGCAAAGCTCCTGATCTCCGACATTGGCAAAAAATTACTCGCCCAAAAAACTTGCCCCAGCAAAGACTTCCTCGTAAAGTTGCTCAAAGTAAGCGTAATTTTCCCCTATTTCGATACTTCTATATTGCTCATACATCTGAATTTATAGTTCATCACAGCCCGAAAAATTGGTTCAATTCGCTTTTGAGTGCATTGGTTTACTCGTGTTTTTTTGGGTATTCTTTAATGTGTCGATTCTTGTTCTGTAATTTAAAACTAGTGGTTTAGTTTTATTTTTTCGTTTAATGTATGTTCCTATAGTCCAGGACTTCATTTGTTTCTAATTGAATTTAACCAGTGATTATTAGTTTTGAGTACTTTTCGTATAGTTGAATTTGTGTCTGTACAAATTTTTCTGGGTATTCTTGATGTGTTTATATAGCAGGGGGATAGTTACTAATTTTAGAATACTGACCTGGAATGTAGGAACCCCAATAATTGGGTAGGAGAGAAAGTCAAGGAATTTGGGAATAAAGCTATAAACTCTATGATACTGCAAATAGAAGAGGTAGAATGGTGTTGGAATAACAGTAGATTAGAACCTTAAATTGGAAATAGTAACTTTTATTATGAAAAGAAGTGGAATAATATTAAATAATTTTATAATAGCAGGAAATGTAATCTATGTTATAAGTACTTATTATCAAAATATGATTAGGTGAACTGAATAACACTCAATTTTGAAATTATGTTGATGAGTTAATGCTATGAATACTTAGAGGAGAGAGAATATGCATATTCAATTACCAGGAAAAGGGGAATATGTGTAATTTCATCTTTTGAGGGTCATATAAGAATCATCATATAAGGGAAGATCATGAAGGATATGAGATGGTTTCTATGGATGTAGGTTTGGAGAGATGAATTATGCTGGGGAACCTATGTCTGATTTTGTGGTGTTGCGTTGACAAAGTTCAAGATGGTAAACATGTATTTTAAAAATAGAAATAAATATTTACTAACCCTAAAAGTGGAGCAAGTAAGAACCAGTTCGTAAGCACTTCACTCACTAGGGGATGAGATTCATTCACTTGCATTCCTGCTAGCACTGCAAAAAGCTCCGGTCTTAACGCCCCTACTATTGCTGTACAGCCTTTCCTTGGGTTCGTAGAGTTGGATATCCCGAGAGTTTTTTTGTTAATTGGAATGATGTATTTGTTAATCATGTAAGGGTTGGGTTGTAAGTTTAACACTAGAGAGAACTCGGTGATGCCACAAAGAAAGATAATATTAGATACACATTGAAGACAGTAAAGACTAAAAAAAAAAGATTAAAATTAGACGTAGAAATTTAAAGGGAGAGAAAATGGAATTAACTAAGGATAAAATACGAAAAGAGCAAAGATGGAATGTAGAAAATGAAACTTGTGTAGTATGGACTATAATTGTAGAATATGCATGAAAAAGGGTTCTTGGATAATCAAAAGGCAATTGCTCATTAGCTTAAGAAAATTGGTGGTGGAATAATGAGGCACAAACTGTAGTAAAAACTAAAAGAAAATGTTATAAAACAATGGCACAGAATTAGGAATAAGAAACGTTTAGATGAAATAGAATTGCCGATAAATAAGTCAAAAAAAGGTAAGAGAAGCTAAGTATAAAGCGAATGATGGCTCATGTTTAGTGCACTGTTAAGTGTGTTTAGAATGAAGATTTCATATCCTCATTTTAGGTGCATCGGTTCTGCTTTAGATTTTAAACTTTTGATTCTAAGGTGCTACACTCTGTTTATGGTGATTCTTTTGTGTTGCGTGACAAATTCATCTCTGCAGCAAGCTGCTAGTGCTTTCCCTGAGTTAAAACAGTTGGCATCACTAAAAGCTGCAATAAAACCACTGAGTGATTCTCTTATTAAGCATAGACTGCTTCAGCATAAAGATAAAGATATTAGACTTCTGGTGGCCATCTGTTTCTGTGAAATTATTCGGGTCCTGGCACCAAATCCTAATTTCAGTGATGCAGTTTCTAAGGTAACTTGCTTAGTGCTATTAGTGCACAACTACCATCCTTTCATCTCTTTCCAGTTTTGGTTACCACAAACCACTATATTAGGACTTACGATAGTTTGAATCTTGTTGCAGGACATCTTTAAACTGTTACTAAGTATGTTTGTGGAGCTTGCTGATACCACCAGCCCCTATTTCTTGAAGAGGGTAAAACTATTGGAGACTGTTGCTAAACTCAAATTCTATGTGCTAATGCTAGACATTGGCTGTGAAGATTTAGTTCTTGAGCTGTTCAATACCTTTTTTAATGTTGTGAGGTTAAGTTTCTCCTCTCTCTTCCCTTTCTGTTAAGAATTTGTGTCCTCCTTATTGATTTGAGTCTCTTTGACGGAGTTACTAGCCTACTTGCCTTTTGATACTTTATTTATGTAGCTTTTACCGTAGCACTAAGAATTGATTTGCATGATAAAGAAAAGACTCTCTTGAGCCAACCTTCAGTTCCCTCAGCTTCTCGATTGAGCCAATCTAAAGCCTTCCTCAAACGGCTTACTTCTTGCTTGCCTCGGCTTCTTCTTAAAGGGCTTAACTTCTTTATTTATTTTTTCAAACGGAGCTTAACTTAACGAGTTTGCTGACCTTCCTCCTTTGGCTTCCCACCCTTTAAATGTACTTTTAATATTTTTTTCATGATATGGCTTATCATTACCAAGCAAGGATAAGTGAAAAAGTTTATGTGCTTTTGGCGTGGACTGAGCATATGCATATATCAGAATACATACACTTAAGCTTTTTCATGAGCAGCTTTGCTATTCTGTTCTAGAGAATCATAGAGATAAACTCTCTTGGAGTGACTTAGGGCTGCTGGTTTGTTTGACATTTAGAATATTGATCGGTCTGATCTCCCCTTTTTTTTTTGGGGGGGGGGGAATCTGTTCTAGAGAATCATAGAGATAAACTCTGTGGGACCGACTCAGTGTTGCTGGTTTGTTTGACATTGGTCTTATGCCCTCCCTTTTTTTATTTTTTTGGGGGGGGGGGAATGGTTGTGGTTGCTTCTGCACGTACATCAACAGATAGTATTCTAGAGTACACTGCTACGAACTTACAACAGAGTGGGGTAGTTTTGTTATATTTTCCTATTTGTTTGATTATTTTTTCAAAGTAGAAATTTCCTCTAATTATTTGGAAGTAAACTTTATCTCATGATATTTACGGTTAAAATGGATATAGAACCTGTATTGTATAAAGCATTCTTGATAACTGTATAAACTGGATCTATGTTTTTCCGATTAAAAGATTTAGCTTCTCCTCCTTGTGTGGGTTGGGGTTTAGATATTTGCTTATAAATCAGCACCAATCCATGAAAGTAACCTTTCCTTAAACAGAACTTCTACTCTTCTACTAGCTTTGTATGAGCAAAATGCATGACTCCCTTACGGTACAAAGTCATCGTTGCATATTCATGATGTCTTGGGTTTATGTCCTGGCCATACTTCTGGAATACTTCCAGATGAGAACCTGTTAGGATGGACTCGCCATATAATTAAGCAATGAGTGCTGGGTGTAATACCTCTCAATTTTATGTGGCTAAGTTTGCTAATTTGTTGTTTTTGTCTCCCCTTCTTATTTACTATATTTATTTCTAAGATCTTTATGGTGGAAATCTAAGTACTTGACTTTGCCCTTAATGGTTAACTGTTGCTCTGTAGGGAACATCATCCACAAAGTTTGGTTAGCATGATGTCGTCTATGATGGCTGGTATTTTAGAGGAGAAAGCTTCTGAGATTCTTTCAAAGGGGGAAATTTGTGAATCAGTTTTAACGGAGGAAGGTTTTGAGCCGCTTTTAGATGTGGTTTTGCTAAATCTTTTGAAGGAGGCAAAGGTAATTTTTGCTTGAGATACTTTGCTTCTGATTCAAAATGATAAAAAGTTTTCCTTTTAATGTTAATTTCTCATGTGATTTGATTTTGGAATGAACTTATCGGCAATGTTTTTGAAGGAACGTAGAATTTGAATTGTTATAGATAGATGAAGAGATAATTAAGCTTGCACCATTGACTTTTTTACTTTTATATTCTTTTCAGTTTGACTTGTTTCAAAGAAAAAAGAGGAGGGAGATTCTCTCACTGTTTTTTTGTGGGTAATGTGGTTCCTGTGGTTGTCTGATGTATCTCGGGCTATAGTTTGGAAGTGTCATATATACACAACAAGCTATATGAAGCTTGAAAACACAAAAAAATTGATTGATTGCATAACACACTTATTCAATTGCAATGATTACAGATTGATCAGACTATGTTGGACGCTATGCATACATCATGGGAGGCACACTTATAGTGCACAAATTATGCCCTCAACCATTAAAACTTGCTTGAACAGTTACCCAAATATTTATTTTACAGTTTAAAAAACTTGGAATTTATATACGTTGCCTGATCATGTAGGATTAAGTGTACATGATAGCAGTTGGATAAGACACCCAACCAATAAAAAGCTAAGAAGCACGGATATGGACACGGCGATACGGCAAAATCCCAAAATATAGGATACGGATATGGCGAGGATACGGCTAATTAAAAAAATTATATATATTTTTATATATATAACAACAACATTAATAATAACAAATATTATTTAAATTGAAATAGATTAAAATTCAAAAAATATATATAATTTTCAAAACCAGCAGGCAGCAGCACAGATGACCAAAAAAAAAGCTAGCTAGGAAAACACAACAAAAAAAGAGAAGACAGAAGCACAACAAAAAAGAGAAGACCAGCGGGCAGCAAGCAACATAGCACCGAAAGGCAGCAAGGTAGGAAAACAAATTTCAGTATTTAAAACCAGTTGGCAGCAGCGCACTAGCACAGAAAGACAGCAACACAGATGACCAAGACCAAAAAAAAATTCCGAATGCAGCAAACAACGCAACACCGGACCAAAAAAAAACTCCCAATTTTTGAAAACCCTAAAAATCCCCAATCAAATTAACCTAATCAAATTTTTTGAAAGTCCACACTCCACAGAGACCAGAAGATGAAGAGGTAAGAGCAGTAGTAGATCTGAAAAAAAAAAATAGAAACAAGAAGAAGATCGCAGTCGCAGAGCTCGATCGCAATCGTAGGTGAGTCGCCCTTCCTCTTCCCTCTCCTTCTTCTTCTCCTCCTTTGGTCCTCTCGAGCTCTCTTCTCTCTCTCTCTCTCTCTCTCTCTCACACACACACACACCGAATGTCGATTGGAGTCGGTTCACAGATCAACAAAGTTTTAGTTTTTTCTTTTTCAAGCCAAAACGACGTAGCTTTGACCTTTTTTTTTTTGTTTCAACCCTCTTAAGTTTTTAAAATAACAAAAGTACCCCATCGTATCTCCCACGTATCCGACCAAAAAAAATGACAGCCTCGAACACGTATCTGACCGTCGGACACGTGTTCGACACTGCCACGGCGACCCCCCGACGAGTATCCGTGCTTCCTAGCTAAAAAGAAAAGAAAAGAAAAGCATAATGAAAATACAATAAGGAGATACATAAAACATCCTATATATGATACATTACATGAAGCTCGACATCTCGCCAAAATTGCAAAAAGCGGGTATCCTTACTAACTGAAGCCCAGAAGGATGCCAAGAAATGACATAAACCTTCCAAATACTAAATACGATTTTCGAAAATTTGTGCATTTCTCTCCTTCCAAATAACCCACAGACTAGCAATAATAGCACAGTTTCACACGGTCGTGCCCTTATCACTCCCCAAACGTATTAAATCTTGAACAAAGAAAGTAATGGATTTGGGAATCATCCACTATAAACCCATTAATCTTTACTACTTGTACCACAATGACAAGCAATAGAATAATGTAAGAATAAATGATTTATGCTTTTATAATCTCTTTTACACATAATACACCATTCCGGACCAAGAAATGAGTGAGGCCTTTTTTTTGGAAGCATATCAGTAGTATTAATCTTACCATGTGCAATAGTCCATGCAAAAACTTGCAGTTTAATTGGCACTTTAGCTTTTTAAATCATCATAGTAGGAATAAAAAGCGAATGAGAAGAATTATTTAATCTGAAAGTATTTATTTTTTTATTTTGTTCTCACTTGTTTCTTCCTCCTTTCTTTCTTCAGGGTGCATCTCCTGCTTCTTCTCGGCTTGCTGTTTCTGTCATTCAAAATTGCAGTGAAGCACTTGAGCCCTTTGTATGTAGGTTTTTAACTTCTTGTATATTGAGTCGAGATGCTGTAAGGAGTGAGCTCAAAGAACTTTACCATGAAATTATCTTTGAAATCTTCCGGTGTGCTCCTCAAATGCTTTTTGCTGTCCTCCCAAACTTGACTCAAGAATTACTGGTTAGTTTTCTCTCTTCTGTTCAGTTGATTGGAATTCAGAGTATCTTATCTTGGCTGACATTTAGGCAAATAATTGTGATGAGTTTGTGTACATGGTTTGCATGTATTGTGTTTGGAAACAGTTTGTAAATTTGTACTCCCTTATTTGTTGCTGCTCCTGTAAGTAAAAACTTAATTCTATTTGCAGACTGATCAGGTTGATGCCCGGATAAAAGCTCTTAACTTAATTGGACGACTTTTTGCATTGCCTGGACACAATATCGCCCAGGAATATCACCATTTATTCATAGAGTTTTTGAATAGATTCTCTGATAAGTCTGCTGAAGTTAGACTTAGTGCTCTATTATGTGCTAAAGCTTTGTACATGACCAATCCATCTGGGAGAGAATCGCTTGAAGTGCTCAGTAAGCTGTCAGAACTTTGATTTGTTCTTGTGCAGTTCATTTCCTTGTTTTTATTATCTCCCAAAATCTGAATTATAATTCTTGTCATGTAAATTGAGCAGCTGCCCTGGAGGGTCGACTCTTAGATTTTGATGATAGAGTGAGAACTCAAGCAGTGACTGTGGTGTGTGATTTAGCCAGGTGTAACCCAAAGTTTGTTCCTCCTGAACTAATGTCTCGGGCTGCTGAACGACTTCGTGATAAGAAGGTAGCATTGCTTTAAAAGGCTTTCTATGACAGGTTCAAATTGTCTGACGTTAAACTGTAGTTTTGTTGTTTTCATGCAGGTATCTGTTAGAAAGAAAGCCTTGCAAAAGTTGCTGGAGGTGTATCAAAACTATTGCACAAAATGTTCTGGAGGTACCATGACACTCAGTGACCACTTCGAAGAAATTCCTTGTAGAATTTTGATGCTTTGTTATGACAAAGACTGCAAGGAGTTCAGGTATGCTTATTCACCCCATATGACTGTTTAAAGATACATAATTTTTATCTAATGCAAGTTGTAAGTTTTTGTTTCATGACTGTTTAGGCCTCAAAACTTGGAGCTTCTGCTTGCAGAGGATATGTTTCCTGCTTCCCTCTCAATGGAGGAGAGGACTAGGCATTGGATCTTTATGTTCACTCTTTTTAGCCCTCTTCATGTTAAGGCATTGAACACTATTTTATCTCAAAAACGAAGGTATTGGTAGTCAAATGCTGGCATCCTTGAGTTGGAGTAATAGTCTAAACTGCCGTATGATTTCAGGTTGCGAACTGAGATGCAATTTTACTTGGCCCTCCAGAAGAAAGAAGAGGTGTAGTAACGGAATCCCCACCAGTATGCTAAACTTCTAGAATTACTTGTATTGTGGAAACATAGAAATACAATAAAATACACCCCCTTCAATGTACTTGTTATTGTAGCATAGAAAATTTCAGGTACTGTTCTTTTAATCCGTGCACATTATGGGAGTTACATGGATCAATGAGTTTCCTATATTGGCCATTTTCTTTTTGTTCCTTCTGTTTACACGATTTGATGAAAATGCTATAATACTTGGAATTGGGACACATGTTGTTCATGGTTGTGCGTTTTAAGTTTCAGAATCCCTGTGGCATGGTTAAAGTATGCTGAGGTCCACTATTTTAGGGTATCTCTTGTCAAGATAGAAAATATTATTTATACAAAGCCAACATTTATTAGTGTGGGGGGAATTTTGTGATTCTCAATTAAGTAACCTAGATTTCACTTGAAATATAACTTCAAACAATTTGGGAGGATTTGATGTATGTCTGCAACGGAGGTTTAAAATTTGTTAGCACCATTACCTTGATTTTAGTCTGAGAATCGATTACAGATCATGTGGAATTGAGAAGACTCATTTGTGCTAGTGTGGGATGAATGTCAGAAAATGGGTGCTGATATGCAATATGTAAGTTAAAAAAGATAATTTCTAAATGTGTATATATTCAGTACACAGTGCTGTGAGCCCGGGGCACTAATTTATCACTATGTTGCATACTGTTGGATATCAAAGAGCAACTACTGACACTTAAAAAAATCAATAGTGAAATGTACATATCGGGATGTTTTTTTTTTCCATGGAAAATAATGGGGTTGCTCGAGACCAAAAGCAGAATATTGGCTTTTGGTCTAGGGATGTGGTTTATTTTTTTGTATCGGTTATCACTTGTAAGCTGTATTGTGATATCTTGGGATGCCTCTGAGCATCAATATGAGTCAGCCAATCGAACTAAGTATCAGGAGATGACTTGTGGGGTAAAATGCATCGTGCTTTAGCTGTAATGCATCAGAGTATTATAATGACCTATTCTGTTTGCACTGGGCTGATTTTTTGCACACTGATCATGATGCGAACTCATAGGCATGTTTATTAGGCTTAAATCAACAAAAAGGTCCAATTTTTTAAAACTAATTTAATTAAGCATCATGATTTGGGCCATTTGAAGATTAGGTTTTAGAATTCTAAAACAATGTTTAAAGTTCGACCTAGGTCAAATCGAGCAAATTTGATATTGTGGCTTACCAGAAGTAAGGATGTGCTCATACTACAGACACAGTTTTTGTCTTGTCAATGATATTTTAGTGTCCTAGATTGTTTTCATGAGGTGGGAGCTGTATCAATGTAAATGCAAATAGAGTTGCTCGCCTTTTCTAATACTACGTGGCAAATATGTTTTGCTGATGATAATGGTCGTCACCACTAGTTTCGCTAACCATGTAAGAATATGCTTTACTTGATTCTGTTTATTATGCTAATCGTAATTTTGTTCCTTTTCCCCCCCTCTTTTGCTCCCACATTATTTAGGATGGTTGTATTCCTGTGCAAGGATGGGCTTGTCATGTCATGTACACAGTTGGGCTGCAGGGAGTCCTTTGATTTTTAATCGATTAAATGTTGTGTATTTTGCAGGATAATAACTCTGAAGAAGTGAAGAAGAGAATTAAAATGTCCTTTATGAAAATGTCAGCAACATTTCTGGATCCTGCCAAAGCGGAAGAGGGTTTTCGTAGGCTCAATGTAATGAAAGATAATGGCATTTTTAATGCATTGGCACAGTTGCTGGATGAAGTGACTATTAATGATGCCCAGACTGCTAGAGTGAGTTGTTTTGCTGTCCTCCATTGTCTATTTTATCCGAAAGACATCTTGTTTTCTTCTTTTGCCTTAGATAATGTCACATGATCTACCAGAGTATCTGTCAAGTCATATTATGGCCGTTTATATATTTCAAATTGTTCTTCTTGATTAGTCATTTCTTGATCTATTCTCTTGTTTTATTTGTAGAAATACTGTGTTAGGTCATAATTTTGACATGGAACAAGAAAATTATCGAAATGTTATGAATCCCTTGCCAAAGGGAAGAGTTATCGGAAGGTTGTCTCCAGACACTTCCAATTGTATTCCGTGATTTATGGAGCTCAACCTGGACATTCCATAGTAGGTATGCTGTGCTAGGTTGTAATTTCGATATGGAACAAGAAAATTAGGTGAAATTTTATGAGTCGCTTGCCTGAGGGAAGAGTTATCGGAAGGTTGTCTCCAGAAACTTCCAATTGCATTCCATGGTTTTTGGAACTTAACCTGGAGAGGCTGACCAACTTTCACTAGACTGTGCATAAATTTGGAATAAAATATAGTAGGCAACATCTTTGATGACCAGGGAATAGGCAGCACATGGGATGGGGTAAAGATTACGAAATGGCCTTCAACATTTTTATTGCTTGAAATCATGTTTTAGTAACCTGATGATGCACGTTTGACTGCTGACGTGCCGCCCAGTTTAGATATGGCTTGTTCAGATTCAACAAACATTGTGCTGTCTGTTTTATCTGAAGAGGATGACACCATTTGCTATGTGTTCAATGATGTTGGTTCGATTTTTCTTCTCACCGTTTTCGAACTTCATTTTGTGACTGGTTTAGTATAGGAATTTTGGTGTTCATAAATGATGGGTGGCTCAACTAGTTTGCCATAATAGCACGTGGGATAAGCAATGACATTTTTCTAAGCAATTGGTATTGTTTCTCATTTTATAATGCTGATGGCATCACTTTTCTTTTGTTGTCCACTGTGGTTGTAATGGATCATTGATACTTGAGCATTTGGAGAGCCTCTCCATTCTCGTGCAAAAGAGCTCTACAGTTGCAGGGACTATGCCCAGAGGCTGTTTTACTGGTGTGGGCCCTTAACTATTCCTGGTTGGTGCAAGTTTTGGCTGGAGCATTTGGAAATAGGAGAGTAGACGCTCTTTTGATTGGGTGGAATTGCTGATGTTGACTTTAAACTGTAGTGTTTGCTGCATGACTAAATGATCAATGTTAAGTTTCTGTTGATTGCAGAAATGTTGGATGTTGGTTGATTAAGAATAAGGTGGTGTGAAATTCATGCGCCATATGGTGCAGTTAAAGATTTTGAAATGATTTGAATGATTGTTGCAATATAACGCAAGGAGACTTGTGATGGTGATTCTACTGTTGATATAAGGCTTGGTTTGCTCGACTTGAATGGTAGTTTTGGCAGGGGATGTGTCATCCAATGCAGAATAGGGAGATTAACATTGAAAACAGTGTTTAGAGCTAGTCCATAGAATGTTAAATGCACTTGTGCGATACGGGTTGTGAGGAATCAAGAGAGTTGATTACTCGTTTAATGCTGTCACACAGCTATCTAAATGAAAATAACGTTTTGATATATCTTTGAATGTAAGTAGTAAGTACACAAGAAAATGTTTTTTGCTATACTAGATCTAATTCATCAGTGCTGGAAGTACTTATGTTGGAAAAATTGTTCTTGAGGATTGAGCTGAAGCAAATTTAATCTTGAATGGATAATTATACAAGACTGATGTGATTCCTTGAAAAGAAGTGAATAAGTTCAAGTGGCGGCATCATTGAATCATTTTGAAATTCTCAAGCTCCTCAATCCCCCAAAACTCCAATGGATTTGAGCCATGATGGGCTATTTTTTTCCTTATTATGTGTAATTAGAAGTCTTTTTTATTATTACGTTGTTCAAACAGTTTACCTTTTTTTTTTTCCGCCATTGTCATCAGGACTGCATTGATGATGGAGAATTTCAAGTGGTGGCATTATCGAATTAGTTTGAAGTTCACTAGCTCCTTAATCTTCAAAAACTCCAATTGACTTGAGACATAATGTGCTATTTGGTTTTTTGCTTATACGTGCAGTTAGAAGTTTTTTTCATTATTATGTTTGTTTGAACATATTGCATTTTTTTTCTCGACATTGTCATCAGGAATTCATTTATGATGGAGAATTCCAGTTGTGGACCAAATACTATGATAATATGAATCTATTGAAGGATTTTAGGCTATCTTTATTGACATTTTTCTTTATACAATAGAAAACAGTTATTTGGACTTGTCTAATATTGTTCATTTTTTATCTGCCTTATTGTTTCCTTTAATCTTTCCATAGTTGTTTGTGTTAAGAGTTTTTCTTTGGCTTTGTTTGTTTTGCAAGTAAGTTTGGGAAAGTGCAGGAAAAGGAAAAAAAAGCAACTTTCCATTCGTTTGATTAGCTAGAAAATACGATTTCTCAAGAAATTTTTTTTCCCGCAACACCTAAATTTTCTTGCAATCAGCTACTTTTGTTTCCTGCGCGGAATTTTTTTTTTCACGGGAAACTTAACTTGTTTCCTATTTTGTCCACTTAACATGTTACCCATTTCAGCAATAGAAGTGAAAATAAATTAGATATTTTGGTCACAACAAAACAAAATAAAAATCAGATATTTTGGTTATAAATGTTTTTTTTTAATCAATTGAACAAGTTATAAATGAGTCTTATTCATGTTATGTTTAAGTAGTGCTGTGTTAAAATTTGTCCAACTTACACCAGACTAGATCGTGTTTAAACTGGATTTAATGGATTCGTATCACATATAACTTGTGTTTCGTGGACTCATATCGTATTTAGTTAAATTCGTATCAAATTTAAGAGTGTGTTTAAAAATATCATGTGTAAATTCAATGTTAATAATAGGTACTGGGTTGGTCATTGGGTCAAAGACTTAAATTATTGGTTTTTTATTTGTTGGGCCAGATAATAATTTCTAATCCTTGTGTATGTGTTAGATTGATATGAAAAGGATAATTTAGTACTTACAGCAAATGTTTTTATATTTTTTAGCAAACTTTTCATTCTAATCAATCGAATACAAAAAAATAAATTTTCCTCCCTATTTTCTTTCTTTCACTTCACTTTTGACCATTTTCACTTTCTATCGTCAATTTATTTCTAACCAAACGCAGCCTTTGGGTTTTCTGTTTACAGGATAACTTCCTGAAAAAGATTGGTGATAGGGATGCACAAGTTGGTTTTTTCCAATTACTCTCCAAAAAGTGCTTGTATAATATATTTAGTTCCGAGCATGTGCTTTATATTGTTGACCACCTTTCCAGCGACAGATTTGGAAATAAGCAGTTGGAGGATTCTTCCGTGAAACTTCTTCTGGTAAGTGCAATTGCTTTTGAAAGAATCTGAACACTAAAATTGCATTTCAAACGCTTAATAAAGCGTTTGAACACTAAAATTGCCTTTCAAATGCTAATATTAGTTCCTGGATCATTTCTATTTGCTATATAGATGTAGTGTCGAGATTCAGTTTTCATGAACATCAGATTTGTGAACCTTGGTTAATTCTCATGACAGTTCATATTTCCATTGGACTGTACCTTCTCTTTTTCTCATCCTCTTCCATATTTCAGGATGCTTTGAATTACTGACCTTTGAATAAATCTTGATCTGCTGCCACTAATACCTTATAGATTCTTAGAATGACTTTACTAATTCCAGCCAGTAATAAAGTATATAATTAAAACTGTTTATATAAAATGGTTCCTTCCATATTGCCACGATTCTTTTATTTTTTCTGGTTACAATTAATAATTATGTTAACTGGATTTATTTTAAATAGAAGTGGGATTAAACCAGAATGACTTACAAAGCTATAAAGAGCGCAGTCTAATATATTCTGTCTCCAACATGGATACTTAATTCTATCCCTAGTAATATGAAATGAACTGCACGTTTCACGAGTGCTCTACCGCAGTCGAGAAAGTTCCAAGTCTGTGACTTAATGCGGTCTTGTAGTTTTCTCAGAGGTAAGCCTCTTGGGATAAGCTTTTAGCATATTTAAACTTTCGAGTTTTCCACTGGTTTGTGTATCTTATAGGCTGATAGCATAAGAGAACTTCCCTTTTGTTTTATCATTTAAAAGAAACCATAAAAGCTTTAAAACAATTCTTGTTATCTTAAAAATCCACTAGATACTTTCCAAAAAATAAAAACCCGCTAGATAATTCTTGTTTCCTTTTGTTAACATATGGCTTTCATAGACCTAATTGTTACCCAATCATGAAAAAAATACTAAACCATCAATAGCAACAAATGGCAATGATGGGAACCATTAATCTCCCTTCCTTTGAAGACCATATTCTATTTAAAAGGTAAAATAAGGTTTTGGGATGCAACAAGAAATGAAATTAGGCAAGGTTTTAGGACCGGATGAGATTTCAATTGAGGTTTGGAAGTGCTTAGGGAATGAGGTGGTGTCGGGGCACTAACGAAATTATTCTATAGCATTATTGCTACTAGAAAAATGACTGATGAATAGAGAAAGAGTATTTATTTATAAAAATAAAGGGGATATTCCAAATTGTAATAATTATAGAGGGATAAAATTGATGAGTCATACAATGAAACTATGGAAAATGGTCATTGAACGTTGCCTAAGAGTTGAGACTACAGTGTTGGAAAATTAGTTTGGGTTTATGTCGAGTAGATTAATTATGAATGTTATATATTTATTGAGGACACTCATAGAAAAATATAGAGAGAAGAAGAAAATCTGCACATGTTATTTATAGATTTAGACAAGACCTATGATAAAGTACTTAGAAATATAATATGGAAGGTGTTTGAGAGAAAATAAGTGATGAATAGGTATATTGAGTGATAAAGGACATGTATGACGGGGCTATGACTATAAGTAGGTCTTTCGTGGGAGAAAGTAAAGAATTTTTAATTACGGTGGGACACTAAGGATTGGCCCTAAGTCCATACCTATTTGTCCTAATTATGGACTAACTTACTAGGCACATTCAAGATGATGTCCTACGGTTTATGCTAATTGCAGATGATATTGTATTAGTATATGAAACTCGAATGAGGATTAATAATAAGTTAAAAATTTGAAAAGAAACACTCTAGTCGAAAGAGTTTAAAATAAGGAGTAAGACTGAATATATGCAATATAATTTTAGTAATAGAAGAAGTAGATATAGTGAAAAAGTTAAATTTGAAAATCAAGAAATATCAACGAGTAAATGATTTAGATATTTAAGATTAATTATTAAAAATGATGGAGAGATTGAAGATGATCTAACTTATAGAATTAAAGCCGGTTGGCTTAACTGGAGGAAAATTTCTTGTATATTATGTGATAGAACAATACTAATAAAATTGCAAAGTAAGTTTTATCAAACAACTATAACGATATCAATGTTGTTACGAGACGGAATGTTGGGCAATTAGGAAACAATATAGTGACAAAATGAGTATAGTGAAAATGAGAATGCTAAGGTGGATGGGTGAAAAAACTAGAAAGGATAGAATACGAAATGATTGTATCAGAGAAATGGTAGGAGTAACTCTAATTGTGGATAAATTAAGAGAAAATAGATTAAGATGATTTGATCATGTTTAACGGAGGCCGATAGAGGCACCGGTTCGAAAAAGTGATAGAATTTCTCTTAATGGTACTAGAAGTAGGGATAGACTTAAATTAACGTTGAATGAAATAATAAGAAAAAATATGAAAATATTTAACTTAAATGGGTGTATAGCGCATGATCGAAATGAATGGCGAAGATAGACTCATATAGCCGACCCCAAATAATTGGGACATAAGGCTTGGTTTGGTTGGGTTTGGTTTTGGATGCAACAAGACTTTCATGGATGGATTGGACTTTCTTAGGGGCTGTATTGTTATTTATCCATTTTATTTCATTCTTTCTGTTGGGGCAGCTCTCAATACCGGTTTAGCTGCATTAGAACTCCCTTGTAGCTTTATATATTTTGCTCCTTTTTATTTCACTTCATTTTTGCTGTATTGTGGAGGTAGGTAGCGTGATTGCATGCTCTAAATTTTGTGCACTGTCTAATTTTTTCTTTTATGTTTGATTAGATAATTCTCGGTGCATTTCCGTCACTCCTGAGAGGTTCAGAAAATCAGTTCCGCCTTCTGTTATTAGAGGAAGTTATCCCATTTAGTGAAGAGCTGGTTCAGATGTTATCTAAAGCAGGGCCTCATATTTCTATTCAACTCAGGTAACTTTTTTGAGTCTGAGTCGTGTTGCTGTTGCTGTGGATTTTTTTGTGGTCTTGTTCAAGAATGTATAGGCTATGAGCAAAGTCTTCAACATCAAAGCAAAAGACGTCTGAATTTCTTCTGCAGCTTCCCTTGAATCCAAATATTTCTTGAATAAATTTCAGCAAGGTTGACTGTTCAGATGCAATTTCTTCTGCAGCTTCCCTTGAATCCAAATATTTCTTGAATAAATTTCAGCAAGGTTGACTGTTCAGATGCAAGCTTCTCCTTCCCTTGTGTCAAATCGGTCAATGAATTTGATTTCTTTGAAAAACATAGCAATGTTTGTATAGTTGTTGTCATGATAAGATATATGGTTATCTGGCAGGTGATTTGTCCTTAATTTTGCCATGTCAATTTGGAACCATAAGTCATTACCTGTAAATGATTTTGAAATACAAGATTTTGTAGTGACAAGCCACAGTTTATGCTTGCTAGAATATCTGGGAAAAAACTGAATGCTGGGCATTGTTGTACTTTGCCTAATATCCCTAATAATTCAAACATAGAGGAGTGTAGGAATGACATTAATTCATTCCACTCTTTTTCAGAAAAGTCCTCTGTTCCTATTCTTCGGTTCCACAAACCCTAAAAACTATAGCCTTCATATTTCAGCTATGCTTTGAAAATAATTGTAAGTTAACCAAACATAGAGCACTTGACTGGCCGGAATGAGAAATAAGGTTTTGTATATATAATTGGGGCCAGGCTTGGTTTGGTTTGTTTTGGTTTAGTTAGAGTGTGCACTCTTCAAAAATTATCCATTGAAATACAATTATGTTGTGTGATTTATAGATTTGATATTTTATCGATGCACAAAACCTGGCAAGAATGAGTTGGCTTGGAGGAATTGCTGCGCTGTTGTTTAAAGAGAATCTCTACTTGTCGGAATTGAAATTGAAAAACCAATTTTTTTTTTTAAATTAGCATTTCATGTCATGCTCCTGTTTTGGTTTATCTTTCGGGTTTTGAGTTGTGTTGGATCCATGCATCTTGTCTATGTAGTGATATTTACTCTTCCCTGGAGAGGATATGCCTCGAGGGAACTCGTGCTCAGTCCAAACTTGCTGTTTCGGCGATTGCTGCATTGGTTGGTACTTCTGAGCAATTCATTTTCCCTGAGTTGTGCAAGGTGTAGACATCTAAACTTTTGTAATCTGGTTAATTTTATTTCTGCTAATAAGTCACCTGTATCTCCACATTGTTTAGCACACATTTATTTGTACATTAGGATATCGAAGGGCTATCACGGTGATCAGGAGATGAATATAGACTTGGCTAAATGTGTTTGTGGTTTATTCTATTGGTTTGTTGCTTCTCTATGATTTCGTCTCTTAGCAAGACTTTTGACTCCTGAATAAGTTTAACATTAATTAGGGTTATTTATTTCCTCCAGCAGGATGTTATACACTCCTCTCTAAAAATTTCGTTCTCGAAATGTGCGAGATTTTAAGCCAAACACTTACCCTGGGTACCTTATAAAAAATATTACAGTGGGTTGATCACTCCCTCAACAATCCTCATGTCGTCATCCTAAGTATCAAGCCTAGGACAATTTATAGAAGTGAAAATTGGCCAAAATTACATTCCGAGACTCTTTTTTATTATTAGGTCCAAGCTCTGTGCTTTTAAGACCTAAAGGACATGCTATGGTATAATATTTGGTCTCTAGTCCAAACTAGCAGTAGCTGTTATTTTTTTTATTGCCATAATACCCCTGAAGAGCTTTTTTTGATTGAAAACAATTTTGAATCTAAACAACATTTGTTCAGATTTGAGTTTCTTTATTTCTCTGTCTGCTCTGTCTATCTCTCCCTCCTCTACCTTCTCTCTAGCTGTACATTGGTCGCATGCATGTCATAAATTGCAGATCCAAGAAACTACAGATTGCAACAACGAGGAGAAGAACCTGATTAGAACTTGCAGATGCAAAGCGATTCAAGATCATACTTGACCTTGTTTTTTCAGATTTGAATCTATTTTTTCAGATCTGAATTTGTTTTTTAGATCTGAATCCATTTTTTTAGATCCTTATTGCATATCTGAATCCAAATTTTCAGATTTGTTTTTTTAGATCTGAATCTGTTTTTTTCGTATCTGGATCAAAATGATTCAAGATCATGCTTGACAACGTCAAAGAATGCGTGGATGCGACTGATTTCCACTAACCATTGCTTCGATGTTCGGAAGAGGTGTTCATATAGAGATTTACTTTTTTTTTTCCCTTCAAATCATCAGAAAACGAGCTCTAAATGTGTTGAAGACAATGTTGAAGAATTCAATGATTGTCCTTCTTCATTTTCAACATCAAAGTTCTTCTTTTACAACTTTAATTTTGTTCAGATTTTGCTTAGAAGTCTAAAATTCAAAGATATATGGTTTATGTGTTCAATGTACTATAAAGCAATCTGGCTAACACCAACCCGTTCTTTCGACTGTCTATATCCCTCTAAAAAGTTTACAATGACAGTGAACTTGGACAATGAAGATAAATCACTGTCCAAAACCATCCCCTTTTTTCTCACTCTATCTCCCTCTCTCTCTCTCTAATAATTACCACTGTAGTGAATTTTCACTGTTTTATGTCAATTTCATTGTCCAATAACTGGAATTCTTGTTTCATGGTTAATTTTTAGTGAATTTTATAATGAAATTAAACAGTAAAATGCATGCTTTAATATCCAATTTCAGTGACTAGCTGGTGAAATTGCAAAGTGAAGTTCCTATTTCATCGTTCAAAAGCACCTCTTTCTTCCAACTCTCTATCTCTCTCTAGAAAGTTTCAATGACCGTGAAATGGGAGTGTGAAATTCCTTTTTTCACTGTCCAAAACCACTATATTTCTTCTTTCTCTATATTTTTCTCTATAGAATTTTCACTATATTGATTTTTGACTGTCACAAACCAATTTTCACCATTCAATTTCAGTGAAATTCTTATTTCATTGCCATAATTTGGATAATGAAATTCTTATCAAACTGGCCAAATCGGACACATTTTACTGTCGAGGAGAGTGAAATATGCCCAATTTCACTGTTAATGAAACTGATAGAGAAAAACTAACAGTAAAATTGAGTGTATTTCAACGCCTAGTTCATTACATGTTGCTAAAAAAGTTGCAATAAGATTTGAAAATTATATGGCAATGAGATTTGAAAGTCCAAAATTCCTAAAACAAATCAATTTTCTAACAGACATAACATTTTGCCAATCTCTTTAGTCCTTGTTGCGTCACATTATTGTTGCTTTATGTCTTTGCTACACACCCTATCCCTTTGCACAATTCGAGCTTTCTTCCCTTCCTACTTACCTGTTGTTCGCTGTGCCCAAATATTGTTTGTGGAAGGAAACATCGGCCTTACTGGAAAACAATGTGGGCCTACTTTCAACACTAACAAAGCTTTTACCTTCCCTCTGATGATCATCCTTTATATATGGGATTGTCACTTGCAATAATTTGCTGTTCTATATGCCTTGTATACATATATACAACTTTTTTGTATGTAAGAGTAAGATCTTTAGAGTCCGTATTCATAGGAGCCTCGTGGACTGGGCCACCATTTTATATGCATTATATAAATCTTAACTACAATTACTAGTCCTACATTTGCTGTCTGAAGTTCAAATCTACTTGCATTCACTGTTGTAAAATTTCACACAAAGTGGTGACCATTTCTTTGAGGCAATTTTACTATTTTAATTCTAGTAATATGTTAGAGCATTCAATTGAAAATCAACTGACAATGGCTTGAGTGACCCCTCAAGTATATAAACCATCGTTAGTGGTCTCTTTTAATACCTTCCTTTACGGGAGACCCAGGCTTGCATGTGGGCCCACAAACAAACAACTATATATACTGAAAAATTCATATGGGTAAGAGACTTGACCTATTGATCACTCAAGACCCAACTTTCATACCATAAAAATATAGATCAACTAGTACGCAGAAAAGAAGCCACACGTAGAGAGGTAGAAGAAGAGAAAAGACCATATGCGGCCCTAATATTCCATAATGATCAAAAAATTAGTACAAGTATGAACCCTACAGTAAGGAAAAGACTAGATTACCCTTAATAAATAAATATAATTACAGTCGAGAGTTTGCTAAGAAGAAAACGAAAATGCAACGTGATGTGGAACTTTATGAAGAAGTCAGTTAATTGCATAGTGGATGAAACAAAAGGTGAGGAAATATTTCCAAGTTGAATTTGGTAACGCATAAAGTGACAGTCAATTTCAATATATTTGGTTCGTTTATGGAAAATAAAGTTGTGTGCAATTTGAATAGCACTTTTGTTTTCACAATAAATAGAAGTAGGGCCAGAAAAGGAAAGACCTAGATCGATAATTAACAATCTTAACTAAACTATCTTCGATGTAGAAGTAGCCAGGATATCAAGAACGAGCTACAATGGTCTGTTTCTTGCTTTTTCAAGAAATAAGAGAATCACCAAAAAATATAGAAATCGGTGGTAGATTTACAATCTATGATATCACCTACTCAATCCGCATAAGAAAAAAATGAAGCTCAATAGCAGAAGTAAAAGAAAACAACAAACTCTAATGTAAAAAATGCCTCTAAGATGGCGTAAAATGTGAAGAACTACAGTCCAATGCGCTGTAATTGGAGAAGAGACAGATTGACTCACAACATGAATGATATATGCAATATTAGGTCGTGTAACTATGAGATAAACTAGACTGTCGACAAGAATTCGATACAAGATTGGATCAGCCTTAAAGATTGAAGTGAATTACACATTAAGGTTGAGAAAAGTATCAACAGTTCGAAAATTTGTGAATTGAGCCTTGTATATTTTGATTATGAAAGAAGATAACTTTTTGGAGATGAAGTCACTTCAATGACCAAAAAATATTGAAGGGGACTAACCTTCATCTCAAACTATTGTTGTAATTGAGCTTTCAAATTGAAATGCCCTCAGAATCATTCCCAATAATAATCATATTATCAATATATAAGAGCTGAACAATTTGATGAGTGAAAGTAAAACGAAGGAAAATAGCAAAATCTTGATCACTTGAATGAAAACCCAATTCAAATATCACAGTAGAGAAATTCTCAAACCAAGCTCAAGGAACCTGTTTAAGATCATACAAAACTTTTTAGAGTTTACATACCTCTCTTGAAATGTGAGGGAGACTAGGAAGAAGAAACATGTAAACCTCTTCTGCCTAATCACCGTTTATAAATGTATTGTTGACATCCATTTGAGATAGTTTTTACTTGCAAATACCTGCTATAGCAATTAAAGTACAAATAGTAGTTATCTTTGCAACAGGAGCAAACGTCTCTCGAAATCATTGCCATATTTTTGTGCAAAACCCTTAGCAACTAACTTGACTTTATATCTTTCAATAGAACCATCCGCTTTGATTTTAATCATATATACCCACCAACAACTAACAATATTCTTCCCAATAATAAAGGCACAAGATCTCATGTCTTAGTTCTATGTGGTGTGGACAATTCTTTATTCATAGCCTGTTGCCAAAGAGAATCAAGAACTGTCTCCTTATAGGAGATAGGCTCAGACAAATAGTGAATGAAAGATAAAAATGAACAAAAATCAGAAGAATAACAGGTGTTAGAAAATCAAAGTAATTAGGACGCTTACAAATGCGCTTAGGATAACGAGAAAAAGAAGGATTCACATTGTCAAAGGTTGATAGAGATGCAACTGAAAGAGGTAAAGGAGCTATACTAGCATGTGAGTTAGTTTTGTTCCTACGAGAGTGTGAATCATAGGAGGGGGTACCATTGGATCTGAGACGAAGAACAAATATTAGATGTGAGCATGCCATGATTATTAGAATCACTAGAAGTATCATCAGGGAAAATGTCGACATATATGTGGTCAAATTTATTAAAGGAGTTAGAAACAGTAGGAATGGAAAAGAAGGGATTATGCTCAAGAAAGACTACATGCCTAGATATATTAGCAATGTACAATGTGCGTTCAACAATATATTTAAATAATAACTTTTTATAAAACAAATTGAATTCTATTTATAATTAAACTGAATAAAAAATTGTGTATCGAATAATTATTTTTTATTTTAATTATTGGTAAACCTAATTATTGATAAATTTTATCTTTTGTTGAATACTGGATTTGTCAAATTTTTAGATATCTCCCTAATCCCTTTAGACGTTCCTCTTTTATTTATAATAGAGTTTCATTGAAAGATTGTCATTTTCGAGTATTTTCACATTTAATTATATTATAGATTTATATTTTTTTCAAAGAGATTGATTAAATTGTAATACTATGTTTGTATTATAAAATTATGATATTGTTGTACATTAAATAATCAAGTACGATATATTTTTGATCGTATAATCCAATGTGACATCTACATTTATAATAATAGAATATAGATTAAACTTTACTTCTACATAGATATAAAAAATTGTATGAAGGTGTATTACTGATAAATGAGTTCAAAAGAATTTAGAAATCAAATACTACTAATAAAATAATTCAAAAAAACTTGGAAGTCAAATGGGTATAGAAAATAAAAATTGGATGAAAGCAAATATGTGAGCACAATTGACTTTATAATAATAATTAGGAATAGAATAGAAAATCAAAAATTTTTCATAGATGTTGATATTTATAAATAGTATAGATACAATATTCAGGCAATCAGATCATAACAATGATATTCTTTTTTCATTCATTATAACTAAGAAAGATACACATAGTAAAATGAGTAGATAACTTATTGTGTTTAGCTTTCAAAAGAAGTGTAAAACAAGTATAACAAAAAAATGCGAAGAAAAATCGTTAGCAAGTTTCCCACATAACCGCTTAAAAGGCGAACCACTCGAAGTAATAATTGAGGCAATTCGATTAATGAGATGAACAACGGTGAGAACAGTCTATCCCCAAAAGGAAGTGAGAACTGACGCAGATAAGACCAATGGGTGAGTAGTCTTGTATGCACAATAGGACTACTAAATAGTACAATCAGATTTCAATAAGTTAAGAAAATGGTTGTGCTTGTAATCCCTACCCAATTCACAACACAATCGCTACTCAATTCACAACCAAAACATTTAATTGCTAAAGAATATTGTGTGTAAATCATGACACAAAAAGTAGAAAAAATAGAGAAAAATTTAGATCGTTGCTTCATGGTATAAATCCAACAATGAGTATAATTATCAATGAAAGAAATATAATATCGAGACCCCCTTTTTGTGGCAATGGGGGTAGGACTCCATACATCAGAATGCACAAGATCAAAAGAAGTAGAAGAAGTGAAACTATTCTTAAAAAGTAAAACTTTGAATTTAGCAAGTTTGCAACCACTGCAATAAAAAAATATCATGACTATTTAAATCACCTAATGCATCAGTAGAAACCAAAAATTTTGAACAAGAACTAGAAATGTGCCCAAGACGAGAATGTTATAAATAAAATCCAGAGGACTTAGGACTCAAATTAAAAGAAGACAAATCAACAGAAGTAGTAGCTACAACTGGAACATTCAATTTTTCTGGCACATAAAGTCCTGCAACTCTACGATTAATTCCAATTGGTTTCTTAGAATGAGGATTTTGCACAATACAATCACTAGAGAAAAAGTAAACAATGAAACTTAGATCACAAAATTGTCTAATAAAAATCAAGTTAAAAGATAATTGAGTAAAAAAATTACGAAGAAATATTATTGAAGTCATAATAGATCCAACATCTGCTTGGAGTGCCATTAGCAGCCATAACAATAGTAGAGAAAGGGAGAGATGAGATAGAAAGGAACAAAGATGTATCATTAGTTATATGATGTGTCATATTCAAGTAGAGCGAGATATAACTAAAAAAGTCGATATAGACAAACCTATAGGGGAAGAAACTATTAAAGCGTCCACATATAATGTAATTGTTGAATTTTCTCTTGCCATAATTATAAGTGTCATGACAAAGACCAATCTTAATCAAGGATCAAAGTAGCTTAAAAATTTGGGGTCAATGCTGAAAATTCAGAAAATTAGGGAGCTGTATCTATAATTCTAGAAAATTCTGGGTCTGCTTCAGTAATTTCAAAATATTTTGGGGCTGAACTATAATTTCAAGATATCCTGGGCAGATTCTGTAAATTCAGCGCATTTATGGCTAATTCTGTATTTTCAGAACATGCTGGGCAGCTAGGGGCAAATTCTGTAATTTCAGAACATCTAACCAAGCAAAGTCAACCACAAGTCAGAATAGAAAACCCTAGCTGCAATTCACTGTTCACTACATCTTCCTTGGCACAGTTGTGGCGATTTTAACATACCAACAAATCTCTTTAATAGACAAGGTAAGAACTTCAACGATTTGGACAAATAAAACGTAGTTGAGGTGGTGATTCTGGCAAAATTTCGCGACAATGAAGCTAACAACAAACGATAAACACTTTATACGAAGGAAAGATGAATGCAATAGTCTCAAACCTTACTCTGATATCATGTTAAAGCATTCAACCCAAAACCAATTGGCAATGGGTTGAGCCCTCAAGTATGTAAACAAACTTTGGTGGTCCTAATTATTCGATGTGAGATACAAGCTTTCTTAACATAATAGATGTGGGAAAAAGTTGAACCCTTGTATTGCATATATCTTATGTTTTGATCTGTGATTGTCGATCCCCCTCATTACTCTCCTGGCTATTGAATAAAATGCTTATCGGTGCTGGGTTAACAAGTCTTTTTTCTTAAAAAGTTTATTTCTGTCCAGAAACTAGTGGATTCTCTAAGGAGTGGCCAGAATCTTCCAACTGTGTTGCAGTCCCTGGGCTGTGTGGCACAGTATTCTGTTTCAACATTTGAAGCCCAAGATAGAGAGATCACTCGGTTAATCGTTGAGAATATTTTTCGAGTAGCTAGTGTGAGTTCTAAGTTTTTGTTATTATGTTCCTTTTATAACGAGGCTAATATAAGCTTAATATTCGTGAAAATTGTCCAGTTTTCCGGCTGTGCTCATTATTTTTGCTTTCCTGCATTTTTGCTCAGGTGGACATGTCCGAGGATCTGAGTTCATTTGATGGAACTTCTGAATGCAGCATTTCTTGCAAATTGAAGGTGTGTGCCACTTGAATTAAGTTGAAAATGTAAATCTGCCTTTGGTCTGCATATGCCTGAAATTCATAAAAGGTCCAGTGTTGAAACAAGAGAACCTGAGACAATACGCTGCAAACATCACGTTTTTAAAACTGCTGCTAAAATGAAAATAAGGAGATTGATCTGGTCAGAAGAAGATTAATGTTCCAGGGTGTAGTTGAGTTGTTCCCCTGCCATCCTGCCCTCATCTTCAGCCATTCTTTTCTGCTGTGTCTGAGAATCTCATAGTGACTTAATTTTGGACGGGCCCACACTAGGATCAATAAAACTTTTGGTATGGTGAAGAAGCAAACCACGGGGATTAAAGAGAATTTAGAGGTAAAGGTAAAGGAAGAGCTAAAATTCTTGGAAAGATTGAATTGGTTGAAGAATGATTATGATTAATGTTTTGCTGCTACTTGGTCTATTAGGCATCTAGCTTATTTGTTGGTTAGCTACGGAGGTTCATGCTTGCTCCAAAGAATAATAGCAGATTATTATGAAAATAATTATCTTATCCACATACATACGTGTACAAACCTGACAAAGGATACAGACCTTGCCTTTAGTTGCACAAAGTGGCTGCCTTTAGACTAATATCATTTTATCACTCCGCCCCTCTTGTGGTGATAGTCTGTATCATTGGTTTGAAAATGTAGTTGACTGTGGAACCCTTACTGTTCTCGATTAATTTTAGTTGGGCTTAGCTCAATCCATGTCTGTGATTTTTATCTTCTGCTGAGCTCTTGTGGTTTCTGCAAGAGCATAATATATGTGATATAACCTTGAATCTTGATCCAACAGCCCCTTGAAGGACTTAGGTTTATAGACCATGCTGGGAATGTCAAATTTAAAATTTCAAGAAAGTAAGAGAGAAGGGGAAACAACTGGTTTAAATGTCTGTATTTTAGCATACACAATTTGAATTTAGTTGCATAACTGTTATTTCTGGTTCCAGTTTAATGATTTTTCCTCTGCAGATTTTTGGGCTTAAAGCACTTGTCCGTAGCTTTTTGCCACATCAGCGTGATCATGTTAGTCGTCAAATTGGTGATTTGCTGGAATTTTTACTGCAAATGCTTAAGAAGGGTGACATCTCTGATGCTACTGTCTCATGGTATGCTTTTAAGGCAATAGATATGTTTGAGCATCCAACCCAACACCAACTGGCAATAGGTGGAGTAGTCTCTCAAGTATATAAACCAATCTTGGTGGTCCTAATTATTTGATGTGATATGCAAGCTCTTGTAACACTCTCCTCCATGTGGGATCTGGGGTCGCACGTAGAATCAACAAACAAACAAACAAACAAACAACTATGCATACTGGGAAATTCAAATGGATAAGAGACTTAGCCCACTGACAACTTAATACCCAGCTTTGATACCAGGTTATAGCATTCATCCTGAAATCAATTGGCAATGAGTGGAGTGGTCATTTAAGTATATAAACCAACCTTGGTAGTCTTAATTATTTGATGTGGTATACCAGCACTCTTAACAAATAATTTTGGAACTATTTATTAACTTCTAGTATTTTGCCACATCCTTGCCTTTTTGTGCCGATATATTTGTTAAACTAAATTGTTAACTTATAAAGACTTTGGTGGTTTATTTATTCCATTTATTAGAGGATACACACCATATTTTTTGAGCACAAGTTGAACATTGTACAGTGCTAAAAATATCTTTGATCTCAACTTAAACACTATGCTGCCCTAATTTGGATTATGGAAATCTTGACTTTTAGTTGAGGTTTTCAAAGGTCATTGTGGTTCTGTGACACTGAAGCATCCTGTATGAGGAAAAGGTTAAAAATCTGTGACCCTATGATCCATAAGTGGTACCTTCTGATAAATCAATATACTGCGTAAACTGCTGTAGTAGACCAAGGTACTTCTGTTCTGGGTTAGAAAACCGAAAACCTGTATGCTTTAAGCTAAATCTCAATAACATAGATCATAGAAAGATGATAGCTGGAAGTCATAATGTGCCTATTCCTTGGTGTATAATTTTAACGGCTCTAAAGGGTTATCATGTTCATTCCTCCTAAAATATTAGATAATTTTGTTATTTGATGAACATTCTTGTGAAATTACTTGTCAAAAAGCTGCAATCCATTCTATGCTCACCTGTGCTGTGCATTTTGCACTAATGCAGTGAATCTGACAAGGCTCATATCAGATTAGCTGCTGCGAAATCTGTCCTTCGGCTTTCAAGAAGATGGGATTTGCATATTCCACCACAGATTTTCTGCTTCACAATTTTGACGGCTAAGGTAAGTAGTCATCTAGACTGAAAACAGTTCAAATTAGAAGTACCATACTGTTTATGGCAAGTTAAAATATATAAAATTTAAAAGTTGTAGGCTTGTAGCGACTTTTTCTTTTGGATTATTAAAAGATAGATGTGTAATCAAGAGATTATCGCATGTACTTTGTGGCTGCTCATATTATGTAATGATCTTTTTCTGCACTTACTTTCGCATCCAGTAGGTTATGCAACAAAGTAATATTTTTGAGGTTTGTGAATGTAAGGTAATATGTAGTAGTGGTAGTAGTATTAGCAAACTGGTAACAGCAGTGCTCCATATTGTGGTGATCTTGAATGTGCAAAAGAGTTGAATGTAAAGAGTTTTTTTCGTTAAAAAATTTGTTTTTTGAATTTCGTATTTGTGTGAATTCAAATATAAGAATTTTATCAATTCACTTGCAAAAATTATTGTATAGGTTTACTTGCTACTTTAATTTATGTCCTGGTAAATGGACTGTGTTGTCGTTTTTGGCCTTTTGATAGGGGTTTAAGATATCTCTCTAGGTAAAGCTAAATGGAAGATAATGTTCTATGAAGCTGATTTGAAAAGATAAGAATCGAGGCCTTGTACATAGGGTGGAGACATCTTTGTTAGGTCATCGCGTGGTGTGGCCCTTAGTACCGTACACTCCACATGTACTTATCCATCAAATTTTCTTTTGTGATGCCTCATGCATGTAGTTAGTTGTAGCCTATCAACGATATTTGGTAAGCAGTGTCTGATGTATAATGAGAAGGAGAAGGAGAAGAAGAACAGAAATAAGAGATTACCACACTCTCTAATTCTGAATAAAGGCACACTCTCTCCACATTTCGCTATAACCTTATGGATAGAACAAAGAGAAACCAAGGCAACATAGAAAAGAAACCCAATTGGATGTAGGGGATGATGAATAGTGATGGAAGCACTTTAGTTGAACACCATTAAAGAAGCAGCGACTATGGGGTCAAACTTGGGCTCTCATACCAATTGATGCAAAATGGGAAGGGAAGAGGAAAAATATGAAATAAAAGAGGTCACCAAACTCTTGCTGGGATTAGGTTAATAAACTTACATTATCATTATTTATACTGTGTCTCCAACCAATACCAAAATTATTCTCCAACTAAAACTCTATCCAAATTCCAAAGCATTACTAATTCTGTAAATACTCCCTAATTGAATAATGTAATAGATAAATAATAAATATATACCTAATTAATTCATATCGTAAAATAATGCTGAAAATGTATTCCTATACCCTGATATTCAATTCCAAGCTTATTTATTTCAACTTTTATCGCCATTCTGTGTTACTCTCGTTTCAGTTTTAATTGTTGTGATTGATATCTACTACATGTGTGTGTGTATTTGTGGCATATGTTGGTGCTTTCTCTTGTTTCTACATTCTATTCCTCCAGTTATGATAATCTTCATATGCTATGTTGCATATTTGTTTGTTATTTAGGTAGTTTGTCGGCATTTCCTCACTCAGAGGTAAAAACTTGCATGTAGTTCCTAGGTTCAGGAAGGTAATGAAAAGAGGATAAAAAGGTTAGGAACCTAACCTTGACTGAGATGTTCATTTTGTACTTAGTTGCATATGCTAATTCTGATCAATGATTGAAAAGTGTGTTGTTATGCATTCATAGAGGTAGAACCTTAAGCTATTGGTTGAGTTGCGTGCTGCCTCCTTCCTATCCAAGATTGTGTTTGTCTTGTGGATCTTTTTTTTTTTTGTTTGTTTGTTATTTTGGTCAAAGAGGAAGAATGTCTGTGAGAGACAACTGATTGATAGGTTATTTGGCCAAGGAATCAAACAAAAAGATGACATGTTTACGAACCAAATAGTTTAGCTGAGGATGTCATTCTTGTGGATATCTAATACTATTTATGATTGATTGAAAGAAGTTATTATTAATTGTTCACTGCGTTTTAAGATTTTCTGATTATAGTAGAATGCTATGATTTTGAGTTTATTGCTGCTCATAATGTCATATATTTGCTGTTAGAAAGCCTGCAGAATGAAAATCGTGATTAACGAGCCATTTCTGAATTTATGTCCTGTTTGACCATGATTAATCCTGATTTCTTCTAATATATGCCAGGACTGTTCGCCTTTGGTGCGCAGATTGTTCGTTAACAAAACACACAAGCTTTTGAAGGAGCATGCTATACCTGGTAGATATGCATGTGTCTTTGCATTGGCTTCCTCTGATTCCTTAAATGATCTGCAAGAAATGTAGGTCTATGCTTCTGTTTACACCTCGAATACGCATTTTAGTGACTCTTATACTTCTTGTGTATTGGTTGCTGACACCTTCGTTATTGCAGTCATTAAAGTTTATGGGAGAATTTATAGGGGAATATAGCAGAGAAGCTCGAATCCACCAAACTTCACCAATTCAAGGAGGAGTGACTGATTACCCAGCCTGCATGGTGGTATTCTTAATCCATGTTCTTGCACATGATACCAATTTTCCCCCCGAAGGCTGTCAAGATGAAGAAATTTATGCTCGGTTTTGCAGGTTTGTATTTCTGTAATATAGAATTGGAGTTATAGAGGATAAATTTGAGAATCCAATTGATAGTCATGCTAAATTTTCTTTTGTTCCTTTTGTAGTCCACTTGTTTTCGCCTTGCAGGCAGTAGTCAATGCTAGTTTTGTCGGTGGTGACATGGAGTTTGTCAATGATGCTGTCTCTTATTTACGCGGTATTTTTCATGCCATCAAGAGAGCTGAAGATGCTGTTGATGCTCTGACAACTCCTGTGAGTATTGTCTTCTCTCTTAAATGGGATGTTTTCCACTTCGGTCTTTGCTAAAATATGCTAATTAAATAACAAGATTTTTTATATTGCAGAAGCTGCATATTCTAGCAGACTTCGGAATGTCTATCTTAACTGCATTGGGTTATAGTAGCAGCTCTATGCCACGTACCATGGGTCCTATTTTGCTGCCATCATCACTATACAAAATTAGTCTTGCTGAGAAACGAGAGGCAAGTTCTTGACCTGCTCTCTTGCTGTGTATTGCAAATGAAAATTGATTGTTTGAATCATGTTCTGTTTTTGGTTCTTTCAGGCCAATTTAAATTCCTTGTCTCAGTCTGGCTTCGGGAAAAATATTACGAAGAAATTGGTTCAGAGGTTTGAGTCTGAGATCTCTCATGTATGTTTCTACTAGTGATTTTTACTGATTATTTTTGTTTACTGGGTCCATTATGGAAGGTGTAATATGCTTTATGTTGTTTTAAACTTTTATTGTAATGACCTTCCTGGTTAATGTCAGACTGCTAGTATTGTCACTAAGCGTGGCCATAGGAGCCGAGATGATTCTTCACATTCAGATGCTGTAGCATTGTCCAAAGGTGTTTGGTCAATGGATGGGAAAAGGGATCAGACTCATCAGAGCAAGATTTCATATGCACGGGGAACGGAGCTTCATGAAATTCGGAAGCAGGAAATCAACAATGGTGAAAAACAAAATCCAGCTCCCTCTTCCTGTTCTTCTAGATCAGTGGAGTTGCATAAGGAGTTCTCTATTGAGGATGAGCATGAAAAGGCTGCATCTGGAAATTCTGATCTGATAATTAGAAATGAACAACTTCCGTTATCCTGCGATTTTGTTACAAAAAAAACTTCACAACCTCATAAGGACGAATTATTACATTCTAATCCACTAAAAGAAAATGAAGCAATTATTCAATGTAATGGTATTACTGAAAAACCTTCCAAACGTTCGAGAGCCAACCTTTCTAGTCTTTGCCATTCTCAGGTTTGACTGTAACTTGTTCCAAGTGATGGATATCGAAATATTTAGCTTTCTTGATATTGATTTTCAAGTTGTTACCTCTCGCATATGCAGAGAATTGGAAGTGGAATTGAATCACTACTCGGGCGACGGATAAAGTTATGGTCTCCGATTGATAAATGGTGATAATCAGTTGTTGAATATTCTCAATTCTGGACATTATTTGCGGTAATTTTACATAGCAGTGTTGCCTTTTTATCTCTCAGCTATTATGCAGGCACTGTGGATAGCTTTGACTCTAGAAACAATACTCACAAGGTGAGTTCATGCATGTTTTTAGGTATTGGATGTCATTTTGTTTTCCTGGTATAATTTTCATCAATAATTCTGCATCCATCTCGGGCTCAATTTCTACTTTTTCTGGACATTTCATTGCGCAGCTGGTTCGTGTTTGGTTTTTGCCTTTCTATGTCCATGCAAAATGCAAATATTAGTGCAGAAAAATAGATCATGTTCTTCATGGTTGCCTTCCTGGTTTCCATCAGTATGTTGACAGTTGCTATAGATTAATTTATTGAACACCACGAATTTCTGATAAAATGGTGGCCAATTTTGTGTGTGCCTTCTCTAAGTGGATTCTTTTCACTAGCCTCATATTATGTTTGCATACAGAGTCTCATTACAATATTATCAGTTAGTATTGTTCGGGTCTTCAACAATAATATCATAGAGACTTGCCGAAGAAACAATAAATACCATAGAGATACTATGAATTGCAATCATTACTACTTCGAATTACAATCATACAATGACATTTTATATCTCAAATACTGCAAAAAACTTATGGGAAGTAATTACTTTATCATATGAAATAGTGGTGAATCTTTACGCGTGTATTTGTGTTTATATACACGCACATATCTTTATTGCTGAGCATTGTTTTGTTTTTTTTCAAAGGTTGTAGTATGTAACATCCGATGTCTTTGTTGACACTTGAGCAATACACACACACAACCACGGCTGTTAGTATTTTACGATAGGTCTCGATACTATACCCAAATGATACGTATCTTACGAGTTAGATCGTTTTTCACATTATCTTGTGATACTTTTCAATATAATGAAAAAACGATTTGCGCAAGATCAAAACGACGTCATTTTTACAATGCTTTTTTTATATTCCATAAACTGTGAAACAACGTTGTTTCCCTTTGTGTTATTTTTTCATTTTTGGTCTCAAAAAAGATGCTCTCGATCATTTTTCTTTGTCATGAGACCATCTTTTATTTTGCCAGTATCTTACTTTTCTTCTTCTTATTCAAACAGACAAAACCATAACTATTTCGATAGCTGTTGTGAAGGCACACAATTGTCTCTCTTTTGATCTCTATTGGACACACACATCACACGAAATGACGAATGAGTTGAAATGGTATTTATATTACTTAAGATATTACAGATTTACATATTTTTAGGGGTGTGCATGTATACAAATTTTTTAAATTGAGTGTATCTTATCATACATGATACGTTACGATACACGATACATTGTTTTTGAAAAAACAATATACTTTTTGACTACCTTGTACACAAAATGCACTTAGCTGTCCTCGTGGACGAAGATCATCTTAACATAATCATGGACTATGTCTGTAATGTCTTAGCATTTTTATGGATTTTTTGACCTGCCTATGGTGAATTCATGGTTTAGGGTCGCGGTGTCGACCCTCGACTAGGAGAGTTCTGAGACATATCGATCGCAGCGTAATATTGGACAATACTACTTAAAAAAAAATATTGAATATGACGAGAGATTCACGGAATTGTATCGGCCAATTTGGTGATGATAAATCGATGACTCGGGATTGACTCAGAAACAATTTGTGCGAGACTCGGAGGTTATTCGTATCGTGAAACATTATTGTCTCGGAAAATGCCGAGTCAGATACGACTTGTTTGGCTTATATTGGTATCGATCGATACTTTGAACCATGTTGGTGATTTCAACTATAGTTGTCAGTATTTTACGATACACCTATATAGTACCAATTGATACATATCTACGAGCCGTATCGTTTTTTCAACTGTATCTTACGATATACGATACATATCTTATAATAAGTTTCGATACAATAAAAAAATGATGTCACAAGATCATTTTTTTAATTTTTAGTCTATTGAAACAATACATATCTTATCACCTGTTATGTTGATAGTTGATACCTTGCCATGTATAACAATTGCACAATGTGTTTTGTAGATCAACTATGACAGTGGGGAGGTTGAAGTGGTAAGCTTGAATAGCGAGAAGTGGGAAGCTTTAAACAATGATCTCCTGCTGGACAAGGTAATCCAAACAAAACTACCAAAATACTATTTTCAAATTTTAGAGCATAAATCGAGGTTAGGAGTTGTATTTTTGGAAAGCGCAATCATATCTGAGAATGCTCACCCTTCCATGGATATCATCAGTGAGATGGACTGTATGCTGCACTGCATTGGCTGTATATCAAATGTTGTGTTGAATACCAAGTTGGGCAAAAGATACGATATAGGAGTCAAATAACCCAGTATACTCATTGCATCAATCACTCATTTAATATATTTTTTTTGTTGATAAAATTAATTTATGATCTGAATTGAGAGCATCCATCCACAATGTGTGAATAATGTCAAATTATCTTTACCTCGCCCACCCTTTATAATACCCTGACTTAAGTAGGACTAAACTGGGTTAATTTTTTAATGTCGTAATATTAATCGTTGCGCATATATATGTATGTGTGTGTGTGTGTATGTTGTTTTGATCAGTGTTATTTAAGGCGTAAAGCGAATCGAAGCGACCAAGGCTCCTAAAGCATAGACGAGAAGCGAGAAGCGAAGCGAAACGCTTTACCGAAGCGAAGCGAACAGTTAAAAAAAAAAGTAAATATTTTTGTTTAATTAGTTCAAAACATCTAAGTTCTAATTTTATGAATGACACTATTACACTACAATCAAAGGAACAAAATAGTACAAAAATCATCAAAATCAACACTATCACACTACTAATAAAATCAGTATTACTACCAGCGAAATCATCAAGTTCGAATGCATTACAGAAAAATCAGAATCAAAAGCAAAAAAAAAAAACAACAGTAGTAGAAGCAGAAAAAAAAAAGTAGATGTAGAAGCAGAACAAAAACTGAAGTAGAAAAAAATACAAAAGCAGAAGTAGAAAAAAAAAACAGCAGAAGCAAAAAAAAAAAATCTCAACATCATAAAATTAGCAGAAGTAGAAAAAAAACCTAGCAAAAGCAGAAACAAAAAAAAAATGGAATCAGCAAAATATGCATTTACAGAAAATTCCAATATCAAATAGAGAGAAGAAGAAGAAGAAAAACAGAACCAGTGTTTGGACCAGCGAGGACTAGAACTAGAACCAGAAGCAAGAAGAAGAAGAGAACCAGAACCAGAAGTGAGAAGAAGAAGAGAAACAAAAGAGAGAAGAAAAAGAGAAGGACACAAGCCTATGTGTGGATCAGCGAGGAAGGAGCAAGCAGCAGTCGTCGTTGTCTCTGACTAGCGAGGAAGGAGCAGCAGCAGTAGCCAGCAGTCGTCGTCGTCATCTTTGACCAGCGAGGAAGGAGCAGCAGCCACCAGCACTCGTCGTCTGACCCTATGAGCAAAATTAGGGTTTGGGTGTTGTATTTATGAGATAATGGAATAATTGGGTGTATGAGCATTTTACAATTTTTTTTCAATTGCCCCAATTCAACAGTCCATAATAAAAATAAAATAATCCAAGACAACCTCGTCTCACATAACTAAGGTGCTCGTTTTTTAGCCTTTTTCTTAAGCGCAAGGTGCTTACTTTTTATCTTTTTCGCTTTTTCCTCACTTCAGTCACGTTCGTTTCACCTGGGTTGCTCAAGGCGACAGACTCTCGCTTCGTTTCGCTTCGCTTCTCGCCTAAACAAGCTTTCCAAAACACTGGTTTGGCAGCAAGGAAGGCCCCTGCCATGACCAAGAATCAGATTGACTAAGAATACACTGCACAATAAAATTGGAAATGCGCAAGCGTTGAACAACTGAGATAGTTTCATTTTCTTGATGGTCAAAACACCCTGTCATCTTACTTCACCAAAACCGTCATACTATATGGTGCTTCAACTTATGTTTTTAGGAAAATGATACTTCGCCTTTTCTTGCGTTTCCCCCTTCCTAAAAAAAAATTTTAATTTTTAGTTTTTTGTATTGAAGAAACTCTACCCTTTGCATCTCATATTTGAATGAAGATTGGGCAATTTGGAATTCATGAAAAAATTCAGGGGCCAATGTGTGGTTTGCTCTTATGATCACTTCCCTATATTTCCCTTGAGCTACGGTATGTGCAAGTCATCACGACAAAGTTTTGTCCGAAAAAAAGAAAAAAACTCTGGTGGAAAGGGCAAAGTCTCTTCAATTCAAGAAGTGAAGGTGAATGGTGTTTAAATCAATAGTTTAGGAAGCAATGTGAATACAAAAAGCAGAGAAAAAATTGATCTTTTAATCCAATAACCAAAATTAAATTGCTTCGTTAGATTTTAGTTCCATTTGCTAATTCTTTGTAATGGGCTGTGCCAATTTTTTATATGTATCAATATATCACTTAACAAGGATATAATACTGATGCAGGATTCAAGCGGTCTCCATTCACACCATTGGTAAGCTATCATTTCTCACGGAAAATGTTGTACATGGTAAAATATCTTTCTTGCCATGTTTTTGTTGTACATTGTCGACATGTCTCAAGATCCTGCTTTTATGGCCACTACACTTCACTTTCACTCTGTCTTCTCTTCATTTTCACTGTGGGTTATTTAGGGTTACGTCAGAGCTTCATCTTTGAGTCATATTTGCATAACTGAAATTGTTTGCTTCATGCAAGTTATTAAATCCATGCTCTGTCCACTTAGACTTGGCAATGTCTAATTTGAATTGTTTTACGCATTCTACTTTATCGTGTATTTTATTTCAATTCCTAGCTTCATATTTTTTATTGGGAGGAATGCTATTAGGAGTGGGGTGGTATTTCTTTCAAATTCTTTTCTTATTTCTGTGCAATTGTAGCAAACATGTAATATGTTGAACTGGTGAGGTAGGGCTTGTTTTTTTCCAGATTGTGAGGCGTGGTTGTTTTGATTCATGCATATTAGATAAAAGCCCCAGTGGCTTCAGAATTCTTCTTTCCAAACTTCTCATCAGAAGTGATGCTCATTTGTGGCGGACATCTAAAATGGCATATTTGTTTCTCTACGTAATATATTTTGCCTGGTACTTATTTGGATAAGTTGTATCTGATTGTGGTCTCTTGATGTCAATGTTATATAAACTGTTGACCTGGTGCCAAGAATCAATCATAAACCATTGATAGAAAATTGAATCCTAAACTCGTCACCAATAATACCCTTAACTCGTCATAATTTTATTTTCTGTATACGTTACAGTGTATGAGAGAAACATCCCAAATAATGACTTCTATCTGCCATGTGAAAAATATTTTAAATCACAGAATACATCATGTTTACACAATCCATAGTTAAAGCAATAGAAAATTATAGTGATATATGGAATAGTTGATTACATGTTATATCAATTTAAACAAAATATATAATGTAAGCAAATTTGTACCAACTTATTAAGAGGGTTTGTATCTCACATTGAATAATTAGGACTACTAAGGTTGATTTGTATACTTGAGGGCACTGTTCAAAATATCGGTTGAGATTGATATGATTTGGCGGAGTCATATCCGCCTCGGCCACCACCGATACACGATCCTCAAATAACACAAAACTCAGGTGAATCGGTCTTGACTCGGTTACAACTTGGTGGAATCGACCCAACTTAGTTGAATCGGTTGACTCAAACCAAGTTAGACTGAATCGGACTGATAAAACAAGATCTCAGACAAGCCACAAAGAGCCACCAAAAAAAAAAAAGATAGGGGAGAAGAAAGCAAGCAAAAATCATAGGCCCAGATATGCTATCTATCAATTTTCAACCCGAAATTAGTGACCCACCAGTAAGGAAAACAATAAACAAACCATAAATCGCACTCCGTTTGCAATTATAAGAAATAAAAAAAGAATTGAAAGGATTTGAAAGAAAACTTGTGCAATCGAATGGATCATGCTGCACAACAGCGACAGGTAGTAGTGCCCCAGCCTAATCCTTTCTTCCTAGGTAGTAGCAAGGATCGATGATCTTCTCTCTCTCATCGTTCGTTTTCGATCATCCCTCTTGACTCTCTCTCTCTCTCCCCTTTTTGTATCACGTCTTTGCACTAGTCTTAATGGTTTAAGACTAGTCCAAAGACTTGTAAGTATTATAGCTTTAATACTAATACTATTACATATATAATTTTCTTTGAGAAATCTTAGTGTAGATATAGATTACATATAGATTATATCAATTATGAAATATAAATTAGATAGGTATTAAGTACAACCAACATTCTCATACATAGATCAAAATACTATTTTTTGTATTTTAAATTTTTTGAATATCTATAAATAAATTCGAAAACCAAATTTTATTTAGATTTAGACGATCCTTATATTAAAAATTAGTTACCTATTTTGGATAATTAACTTAGAGACAATTACAACAGTTATAAATAATTTCAATAACACTCTTGTAATTTATTTTCACTAGGTTTAATATGGTAGAGGATATATTTTGGAAATATAATGTATTGATGTTATGATTTATATTTTTTCATGATTTTGTAAGAATTTTTTAGGCCTTCTATCAAGCATTTTATGCGTATCGGCAATGAAGACATGATCAATGTGTATCAGTGTCTTCTGAGTTGATCACTTATACCGCGATTTTGAACCATGTTAGTGGAGTCGCTCCACTCATTGTCAATTGGTTTTGGGTTGGATGCTTTAACATGGTATCAGAGCTGGTCCTTGAGTGTTTAGTGAGCCAAATCTCTTGCCCATTTAAATTTTTCGGTATGCATAGTTGTTTGTTTGTTGACCTTACGTGTGAGTGTGGGTCCCACGTGATGGGGGTTGATATGAGATCGTGAATTTCACATCGAATAATTAGGATTATCAAAGTTGGTTTATATACTCAAGGGGCCGCTCCGTCCATTCTCAATTAGTTTTGCATTAGGTGCTCTAACACAACTTAACACGTAGTTTGCATATAAATTACAGCCAAAGTTTTGTGTTATTCCATTTTTTTTGGTTGTGTTTAGTGCAGTCTATGAAGTACGACAGTTGGATATGTCATTCCTAAAATTATACCCACTATGAAACATAGGTTGGAAATGGGTTGTAAAAGTCTAAATTTTTTACTTTCATTCACCTATTATGCAGTTTGGGATGTCCGTACATTATTTGTGTTCACTGCTCACATATTTGTGTGGATTGGACTTTCCTGGGTTCACTGCAGTAGGATAATTTGTAAGATTTGAATGATTTATGAGTGTTTCATTGAAAATACTTGCTAGAGGTGCCATTTTGAAATGCATTGTGAAGTTTAGAGAATGAAGAGAAATCAATCACGTGAGAGGTAGAGAGTAGTAAAAATCATACCCTACCTCTCACTCTCAACTTGTATTTATAGTTATCTAATAAAGTACAAATAGACTAGGATACCCTTAGAGAGGAAACTGAGTTTTATAGGGTGTAAAAATAATACTTTCTTTCAAGTTAATAAATTAGATTACAAGAATATATATAGTCTAAAATAATTAGAAAAATCCTAGACTACCTAAAAGACAAATATACTCCTATTATAAAAATTTATACACACTCTCACTTCCCCTTTTAAATTCATGATGCTAGCCCGGAAAACATCGAAAGTTTGCCAAATAAGAATCGAAAATGAGCTGAAGTGTTAGACTTGATGAAAAATAGTGAAAAATCTTCAAGCTATAGCAAAGAATATACAAATGGTAAAGTAAAAGTACCCAGTTGAAGATGTTGACGAACAAAATAACAATTAATTTCAATATGTTTCGTGTGCTCATGAAATATTGAGTGAGCAATTAGGATAACACTTTTATTGTTACAGTACAGATGAGTAGGATAGGATAGAACAACTCCAATATCAGCTACAAGCCAATGAAGCCAAACTATCCCCACAGTGGTGTGTGCCATAGCACACGATACTTAGCCCCAACAGTAGAATGAGCAATAATTGATTGTTTCTTATTTTTTCGAGAAATAAGGCAATCATCCAGAAAAATACAAAAGCCAATCATAGACTTGCGATCAATATTATTTCCAGCCCAATCACCATCAGCATAGGCGTGTAGAGTCAGAGAGGAGGTTGACGACAATAATAAGCTCTGAAATATAGTGTCGCACACATACTGTAAAATACGAAGTAAGGTAGTTCAATGAGTAGTATGAGGAGCAAAGACAAATTGACTAATAATATGAACTGCATATGTAATATCTGGGCGAGTAACAGCAAGATAAATTAAACAACCAACCAATTCACAATACAATGTAGGTTCAGGATCATCAAGAAGAACACCATCAGAACTTGAGAATTTGGCATTTAACTCGATAGGGGTAGCAACGACCTTATCATTTGTTAAGTTGGTACTAGGGGTGCAACTTGGGGGGTTGAGGGATCGACCCTAGCCTAGGAAGTATGAATACGAATATGAGTACGATACGATACAGATACGGTGATATAACAAAATTCCAAAAAAATAGGATACGGGTGCGGCCGAAATACGTTTATAAATATATATTTTTATATTTTTACTATTATATAATGACATGATGTCTATAATTTTAAGTAATTTTTTAACAATAATAAACAATATTAATAATTTTTTTTTTTAAAAAATTATATATCGTCTCACTATGGTGCATCTTTAAAGTGAACGTGATTAATTAAAGGAATAAAAATCAACATTTAACTGTATTGTTTGCTCAAAAGTATTTGTTGCTAAGATTATAAAGTAATCAACTTATTTAAACTCTTTGGACATGTGATGATGGATAATCCTTGGAAAACACCCATGTGTCTTCCTAAGTAATATGATTTTTTGTTAATGTATTGTGTGTATGTGTATGTGAAATTAAAAAAATTACAAATACTTCTCCACATATAGAAGTATCTATGAAGTATTCATATATTTTATTTATTATTGAATATTTTTGGTGTGTATCTGATACGTATTCTTGAGTATCCGACAAGTATAGTATTTGATACAGTATCCAATATAGATTCGACCTTAAAAAAGTGTCTGTGCTTTATAAACCGTAGCACAACCCTAAGTATAAAATTTTTAACTCTAACCCTAATTTAAACCGACCTCAACACGAGAATACTCAGCCTAAGTCGATTTCGGGTAAACTCGGGTTGAAATCAGGTTAGTAATTCGGATTCAACAAACAATAATCTTAAATTAGGTGTGATCCTTTGCACAATGTTGGACTATTACATAGGCTTACATGATCCGTTAAAATGAAACCTATCAAGACAACTTATTGAGGGCGTAAGAGTGAGTTTTCTTTATATATAGGGGAGAGGAGAGAGGTCATCTGAGTTGTCTATTCGATGTGCGATGACAACTCGTCTCTTTTTGACCTTTTTTTTAATCCCACATTGGTTTTGTAAATTTGTTTTACTATTTATTGTCCTTATAAATCATGTTTTACTCCCTCTTTAAATAATCATGATTACAAATATATATGTTTATATTGTTTATATAAATATAATACATGAATTCAGGTTGAACTCAGGTTTGGTTCGAGTTGAGTCCGATTTCATCAATTTGGGTTGGGTTCGGGTTAAACCAGGCAATCCGTGCTCTTAACCCAAACCTTATTCGAATTCAATTCGGGTTAAAGTTTTTCAACCCTAAGTCCCTAACCCTAAAGACCTCTATCCTAACACTATTTTTTTCAGGTTGGGTTCGGGTTGACCCGCCTAAGTTGCATCTCTAGTTGGTACGGTGAATTAGCTCATTAACATATTTAGATCGGGATAAAAGTTAGCCTTTAGGAGAAGAAGCAACCTCAATACCTAAGAAATATTGTAGATGACCTAGATTCTTCATCTCAAATTCAAGTAAAAGATGTTTCTCAGTTAGTTAATAGCAACAATATTGGTAATAGAGTACAAATAGTAGTTATTTTGGTAACAGGAGCAAGAGTTTTCTTATAGTCAACACCATATTCTTGAGAAAACTCTTTAACAACTAATCGAGTTTTATAATGCTCAAGGGAACCATTAGAATGAGTCTTAACCTTGTAGACCCATTTGCAACCAACATCATTTTTACCTATAGGTGAAACTAAATCCCAAGTACCAGCCTTATCAAGAGCATCCAATTCATCATGCATTGCATTAATCCAATTAGGATCAGTACAATCCTCTCTATAAGGCTGAGGCTCAAAATAAGAATGAATAAAAGTAAGAAAAACACGATAAAATGGAGAAGAACAAGTATCAGCATAATCAAGTCTCATAGGTGGACTGTAAGTGCGAATAAGATATCGTCGTTCAGGTGGAGCAGAGGAGTGTAATAGTGGGTGAGACTTTAGGGATTGCAATTTGATAGGAAAGGAGACTTTGATATCATGAAAGTTTTATTGGGTGCAAAAATAATACTTTCTCTCAAGTCGATAAACTAGATTACAAGAATATATATAGCCCAAAAAAATCAGAAAAACCTTAGACTACTTAAAAAGACAAATATACCCCTATTATAAAAATTTATGTACACTTTCACAGAAACCATGGTCAAAATTGGGTTTAATGGGTCTAGCTGGGCAAGTGGAAACCATTGACCCAAACTAGGTTAAATTTAGGGCTCTACTATTTTTCTTGTTAAGGTAAATCAAAATTAGAAAACTCTATTTGATTTAACTAGTGTCCCAAGTTGAAAGAGGTGTCAAATACTATGCATCGTTGTGTCGTAGAAGATGAAACACCATGGTCTATGGTTACCGGTTTTGGGTTTTTTGCAACCACTAATTCATTTTCTATCCAAATGTAGTGATTCAAAAGCCCCAAAATTAAGTTAGCTATCATCTACTATGAGTGTGGACGGTTAAATTTACCTCAACCAAAGGCTATAAGAAAGGATCAACTCTTTTACGAAGATCCTTTTTGTTTTTCTTTGGACCCACCATGCCCTCTATCTCTTTCGATTGATAAAGTTTGGTTTTGTCTCTAATCTTTTTGGTTTCGATCAGATGACTACTTTATTTCATTGATCGTTAAGTCAGTCATTCAAAAAGTACAACACTCACACTCAGTCTGGTCAGTACGTACACCAATCTCGTAAATCAACGGGCAATGCCCGTAACTTAGACAGCTCCACTAAGTAAGACAAGAAAGTGATTTGCTTGGTTGTCAAGTAAAGTAATTAAGGTTGTGGTGTGAAATACTTAACTATACAAGAGGCTAAATACGAGCCGACTAAGAAGAAAGAAAGTAGCCCCATGAGGTTTAGTGAAAGGTTTAGTTTTAGTCACTTTATTTCGGCTAATCAACTCTACGGGATTAGTCCTAAGGCATAAAATAATGAAAAAGAAAGAGAATAAAGACTCAAATACCCGAAAACAATACATAAGTACATGAATACTTCTATTAACATTGAGTACTTGCTCTTTATTAAGTAATCGAGAATATGCACGAATTTGAGTTCGAGGATTATGGTTATCACAAGTTTCAAATCCGAGACCTTTAAATCCATTATTTTCCCAAAATAACCATATTTTATGCGACTTAAAAAAATGTAATTTATGGTCAACCTTTTGGATTAGATGAAAATTACAATAATGCCCTGTTCTAGAATATTCTTCATAGTATAACAAAAACTACGATTTTATTGCAAGTACATGAAGTTTGTAGGCTTGCATGATAGGAAAACTTTTTACTTTTTTGGTGATAAGGTGCTATTGGTTATTGTTATTTGTTAATCACCTCAAACCAACTAAGTTTATATTGGCTATTAAGCGAATGTTGTCCAGTGATTGATAGATTTGATTTCTGAAGAAATTTGTTTTCTACAATAGATGACGGATGTAAACAAGCAGGATCTTTTTGTTCTCACAGAAATGGTTTCTTCCTTTTTTGTTTCCATTGTTAGTCTTGCTGCTTTACTATGTGTTCTCACATGGATTACTGCAGTGATTGTGGGGAGCAATCTTCTAAAAGTAGTCAAAGGGAAATGGTTGATGATTCCAATCGGGAGAACTTACCAAAGAAGGAAAAAATGCAATTTCATCACCGAAAACTTCATCTGGCTGGTAACAATCTATACTCTGAAGTAATAAAAATCACATCTTCTTTAAGTTGTCTTCTTTGTCGACAGCATTCATGTGTGTCAAGCCAGACATCAGAATTATGTTGTTCTGTTGAGCAAATGGATATTTTAGTAGGTTTGCATTATCATAACAAAACCTATCATTGGTTTTATTCCACTTGAAGTAAAATTCATCTTGTTATTTTCATTGCAGAGCCAGACCCTCAATGTTATCCAAGTCCTCAATTTTTTCCGTTGGTCATTTGCGGAGTGTTTAAGAAATGTTTGAGTTGATCATAATCCGTAGGTTATTTTCAATGGCAAATGAGATTTTTATGAGACGGGAATCACTATGTTTGAAGCTTCACTTTGTCTTTAACTGAGTCCATTTGGTAATCTAACACTTGGATGCAGAGGTCACTTCTATATTTAGATAAACATGCAATATTGTTTTCTACCAATGATTTGTTGACATCTCTCTGTTATTCTATCATTCTGGGTAGTAAATGGCTTCTTGTATAGAAACAGTAGGCTGCTTCAGTATTTGTGGAACATCCAAATGCTATCATATAGCTGGAAAGATATTCCAGTCAAGCTCCAACAATCAATACTTCTAAGCTGTTTTATGGGTGATTCTGTAATTTCTGGGTGCAGCGAATCAAAAGAAGGGACAAAAGGTTTCTGTTGATACATCAGCATCTGAAATCATCGGTGTGAATGAGGATGCTGTAAGATTCACTATTTTTAATTCTTTAGTTCCAGTTTATCTATTTTCTGCTCATAAGAGTGAGAAAGTTTACCAAGAAAGCAGGACATTGCATGAATGTTATTTACAATATCATGTAATTCTTCCCAAATTTGTCCTTTTTCCTTTATCATCGCTGAATAACTGCAGTTTCTGTTCTATAAAAAATATTTTTATCTGTTGTCTCCCATCAAATCCAAATGCTTGTTATTATCTCTGCATCAGAGCAGCAAAGAACCATTTCAATGTTAAGATTCCTCGCATTTACTTTTTTTTTTGTCTCATTAATTGTATTAAAGAGTTTGGAATCTTGCATGGAGAGTAGGAGACTTGATCCAACTAAGTTTCTAAAAACGGGTGTGGGAATATGGATTAACTTTGTTTTAGGATTGATGTTATCGTCTTATATATTGATTCTAGTATGATGAGGAGCTTTGTATTTGTGGGTAATTCAAATATATACTCGGGGTGGCTGGGTATCTAATTAAACTATGAACATACACTTGCAGTTGAATTTTGTTATTTTCCCTGGTAGTGATTAATTTTGTGTTGTATATTTTAGATTGCTCGAAGGACTCGGAGACGGAAAGTATGAGTTACCGCAAGCTGCAGTTCTTTTCTTCAGACTGGAGCAGCTTGGCTTGTAGATTCTTAAGCAGCACCTTTTCTTTTTAGACTGAGGCTGACAATGTTCCATAGATTGCACAAAAGATTCTCTTCAGCGCTTTTTATTTATATCTTATCAAATATTGCTGTATAGGTAGGTGTTCCTTTGTAAGTAGCATGCGTTTGTAATTGCGTGTTGTCATTAGTTATGTTAGGTTTTTTTTTTCGGCCAAGGCAATTTTCTTTGACTGCCGTAAATTGTTGATGCTGCCAGAATGTTGGACTACTAATCGGTAATGCCAGCTAATTGATAATTCAAATCTGTCTGCATGGACTCTATAATGAGAGATGCTGGTTGTGATGTGAGTGGAATTCGATCCTGGCTTATTGTTTGATGCGTTGGGTTGGTTTGTCATTTATTCGAAATAGAAATTGGCTCCCAATTGATCAAGAGTTAGTAATGGACTTTTAGTTTAATGATACTTTTTGTCTTGTGAAGGCTTTTCTTTTTAAGTCAAGGGTTCAAGTTTTTCTTCTCCTCCATTCTTCCCCATCCAAAAAAAAAAAAAATGATCAGAAACTGTGTAGGGGGAACTTTGCACCATTTTTCCAAATTCTCAAAACTGAACATTGTGCAACAATGAGTGCTGGACTACAGGCATCTACCTGAAGTATCATAATGATCAGTCAAATGACCATAGAGTCATGCATTATGAGCGTATAATCTAATTCTAGGGTTGGTTTATTAATTTTGGACATGACTTTATTAAACATGAAGATGACAAGACAGGATCCATATGCTTCATTCATTTGTCTTTGAACCTTAGATTCCAGCTTTTTTTGTGGTGATGAGGAGCTTCTTGAAGAGAAGCTTCAAGTTCATGTGGCTAAGTGGTATAAACTTAACTTAAGAGCAATTCCAACAATGCTATTTAAAATAGTTATTCAAAATATATTTAAATATTGTACTATTTATTTTAGTTAACTATTTTTTCAAATTCACTTTAATCACGTTCTTTATTTTAGCTAATTATTTTAATTAACTTTAATTAACTGTTAATTGTTAAAATCTAAAATAATGACTATTAACTATTAAAATCTAAGAATTATGGGTTTTGTTGGATTTTTTAGGAATTTTCTTGGATTTTTGGGGGATTTTGTTGGATTTTTTTGGGAGTTTTGCTGGATTTTTGAAGGGGTATTACTGATTTTTTTTTTTTGGGGGGTTTACTGGATTTTAATCTTAACGTATAGTCTTCCCTATTTTATTGGATCCGGTCCTCTGTGATGAAGAAAAATGCCTGTTTCCCACAATTCATCTCTTCCTGCTTCTCACAATTCACCTCTGCGATGAAGCCTTATGTGGATTGAGCTTCTGTGGAGTTGACGATTTGATTCAGAGTGATGTGCAAAGATGAAACCTAGACTAGACGAAGAACCCTCTGTTTGCGATGAAGCCTTCTGTTGGTACAAAAACACAGCAGCGAGCTTCTTTGTTTTGCTAGGAATAATCAGTCAAAACGAAGGTTATGAGAAATAGTTAGTGTGATAACTAGCCTGCTGAAGACAAGATTTAAAGACTGTCTATGTAAAATAGCTAAGAAGTGCATTTTAGCTAACCTGTTGGAGTTGCTCTCATAGCGTGGCAGAGCCTTGTAATTGGCATTTATGCTTAAATTTGGATTGCATGGACAACTTTTGTTTTCTGATAAGTAGATTGGAAAAACCAGTAATAAAAGAGGAATAAAAAAAAAGGCAATAGAAATGAATACATTAAACCAGTGTATGAACTATAAACCTAAAACACAGGAAAATAAAAAATAAAGAAAAGTAAGAAGTACAGTCGAGTAAATTTTTAAGTTGAATGTACATAATGAAATTTCATGAATTTTTATAGCATCAAATTAAGAATCAAAATTTTGTTTCGAAATGGTTTTACCGTTCGAAAATATTTTTTCTTTTTAATGAGATTAAAACAAATTAATGATGGAATCGAAATTTTAATATTTTGAGATATTCCACGATATTTTGATATATTTTTTGTAATATTTTAATATATTTTTTCATTTGTTTTAAAATATTTTAAGGTATTTTAAGATGTTTTGATATATTTCGACTAATATTATTTTAAAAAAATAATTATTAAAATTTTTATTTTTTTTCTTATATTTTGAAATGGGTTAGAACGTTTTTCATTTTCTAGGTAACCAAAATAATACACGGAAAAAAATTTTGATTTGTTGATTAAACAATATAATTCGTTCACATGTTTCAATCTCACTTTACTTTTGTGTCTTGTCATCAAATATGTTTAGAAAACAGATTTTAAGTAGGACCACGGGGTCAACATTAAATAGCAATAAGATGGGGGCAATTTTAGCTATTTATTCATAGTAAATCCTTATTTTGATTAAGTTTAATACTGCAATCAATATTTAGTTATTAATAAAACAATTTATTTTTAATTTTAAATTCATCTCTCATGTCAAAAATTTATTCAATTTATTTTCTATCCATATATAATTGTTTATAATCAAATTTGAGTCATATAAGTTTGTGTTATGTATGTTTTATATTTAGTAGAGTCTATATACCGGTTAATCAAGTTCAATCTATTTATTAATGGGGTCCATCTATTTAAAATTTGAAAATTTAAAATAATTAAGACTAAATTAAAATATATTTATTCTATTTCGATTTTGTATCGTGATCATAGATCACATTTACTAATGGATAGAAAATAATTTTTAGGGCACAAATTAATTTAGTGGCTAATGGATAAAAATTTAAACGAGGGTCACGTGGTATTACAAACCAGTCAAGAGTGATAGGATACTAAAGAAACTTAATGGGCTCAATTATTTTAATAATTACTAATAACTATTCTTATTATGTTAAAATAATAAAATTTATTAATTTTTTTTTATAATTTTATAATTAGTTCCAATATTTACTCGAACGAGACCAACTTGAAACCAAACACATTCTTCAAAACCCCCGAACGCTCACACCAGTTCAACGCGGTGGTGCACACTTGTTATCCTGCGCACATTCACTTTCTTCAGTTCTACAATGGAGAAGTTAAAGACCGATTCTCCCCTCTCTCGTCGCATTGTCCTTTCTTTCTTGGACTTCCTCGATTCTGGTAACCCTCTGTCTGTCTGTCTCTCTCTCTCTCTCTATGCATATATAGTTATGTATGTTGTGACATATGTGTAATCATAAACTGGATCACTATACTGTTCAAAAAAGAACTGGATCACTATAGCATGTTGCTTCTTGATAATTACAAGTGTAATTACATTTATATTGAGTTATTCTTTTTGTTAATTAAATAATAATGCATTTATTTTTGTTTGAAGTAGTAAAATTGAGGAACTGAATAGTTCCGCGATCATAAAGTCAAGCTTATTGCTTATTGGAAAAATGTGTCAGGAAAGACATATCAAGAAGTTGTGAAAAAGGGGGTGTCAATAAAGGGATTTTTGGTTCAGTTTATCTGGACTGCCGCATAATATATATAAATAGCTGGCTTGTTGACTTATTGGCCGGGCTTTTAGACTTGAAATGGCCTTTCCTCCATAGAAAATCAAGTGGCATGTTAGTTGATAATCTGCTTTAGTTGCCAAGCTAGGATTAGGGTATGTGCATTGTTGGATAAGTAGCACACATCTGGGATAAATCTGCTATGTGTTTGCCAAATGTATGATTTAGGCAATTGGACTGATGGTTAGAAGTAGAACTATTAGATTAAAATTTGTGACAGTTTATTGGACCATTTAAGGCATAAAATAAAGAATGTATGTGCATATATATATGCACACACATATATGTCTAATATCAAATAACATCGCATCTTGTATTGCTAGGAGTAGGGCTTTTGAGGTTCCTTCGAGTGATGTCAAATAGCCTTGTGCGATGTGGCAACATTCATAGGAAAGCCTGCCAAAGAAGAAAAAGTGATTTTACCCTCCATACTATATTAGCACACCGATACTTTGGTTGTGAGAGAACAATTAGTAGCATTGCCCAGGAAAGGGGGGGCAAAGCAAAAAATGTGTGTCATGTGAGGGCATTTCAGTAAATAGGTTTATGATACATCTGATCTGTGAGATTTTGTTAACCGAACTCGAACTCGCGGGCCTTGATCATATATATATTATGAAAATTGGATTTGGACATGTAAGACTTTCGCAAATGGAATAAAAAAACGAAAGAAATCTGTACAGGTGATCGGGCAATAATAGTAAGTTCAAATTCAAAACAATTAAATCCATATAATGAAGAAACTATATAAATTAGTCCAAAAATAAAGCCTGAATTAAACACTACCTTAGGCTTTTGTGCGTACACCTTACATTTGGTATGATACTCCTCCCTGTTGCCATTGTGATCCTCATCACCTAGTATATCTCTTAGAGTTGCAACATTTGTGTTTTAGAAAATGCAATTTTGTAAACTACGAGATCCTTTGCATTGAAAAATTGACTTATCTTAAAAAAGAACATATAATATTTGGAAGGCACTGAGATGATTCTTGTGGTATAAAAGTAATTTGGTTTCCAACGGATAAGAATTTTCATTGTTTAAAAGTTTTGTTTAAAATGTATTGAGACTCCAGTGCCTTCACGTATTAGGGTCATGGCTCTTCTTTTCTATAGCCATATGTATATCATTGTTGCTTATGTTCTTGTTCAGCTTTGAAGATCATTTTCTTAGTTTGAAATTTGTGGTAAAGTAGCAGTATTATTGTTTTCTTTTTGTTGTTTCAATTATTGGAAGAATCGAAGCTGCCTTGGTTGTTAATCCACTTATAGTTTATGTCTTTTTTTTGGTACAGTTGAAGCCGCCCCTGGTGTTGATGTTGAAGGTCTTGAGGTTGCTAAGGAATGTTTGGCAGAGGTTTTTCAGATTGATCCATCTTCTGTTGATAGTCTGCCAAAAGTTGATTCACTGATTGACATATTCAGTTCACCAGAAGCAACTGAGTGGCATGAGATCAAATCTGATCTTAGTCATGATTATCAGGGATTTTCAGCAGATGCTCCTTGTTCTTCCTCAACACAAAATGCTATTGATGCTGGCTTTGCAGAGGCACCAAAACCCATGGTTCATGCTTCCGCCACCCCTCTTTCTCTTTATAATTCCTCCAATCTGCTTTTCTTTGTAATCCTTAAAACTTACAGTTATTAATCTCTATAAACTGTTCCACATCTTGATGACATTATCTGTTATCTGATGCTATTGCTTTGGCATTGAATATATGTTAACTAATATAGAATTGTTGTTTGGTTCTTGGTTTGTAAATACTTTCTTTGTGATAATGTAGTTCTGTTTTTATTGTCATTTATGAAAGTTTTGTGCTGTTTAGTTGACGTCAAATGTGTTTTGGAATGTAAAAATATAGATTCTTATACACCATTTTGTGTTTTCTGGAAACAAATTGAATAACAACATTTATTACTTTGTCATCCACCATGACCAGTTCGCCTTTTTCTACAGACTTGGGTGGCTTAAAGGAGATGCAAAGGAAGATTCAAAATCTTCAAATGATTGAAGTTTTGAAACTAGCTAAAATTAATCATGCAAGGTTTGTTAAAAGCTAGGGCAGCCTTTGCATAAAAGTGGTTTCTAAGTAGACACAAAGTTCATTTTGAAAAGTGAATAGAAGTACAACCATGACATTTTGTTTATCTACTTAACATTAGATTTTTAATTCATTGCTTTTGTTACTATGTGGTTGTGACCAAAGACTATTAACCAAGGTTCCAACTGTATGTGTTGTTTAGGTATATGAGTTAGGTTTGGGGAAGGTTATATTTATCACTTGTAAAGTATGCCACTATGCCCTCATTTCTATGTGGTCCTTGAAGTTCCGATTACCATAATCTAATCCCTTAAGTTTGGCATATGTTTCAATTATGTCCCTCCATCCTAATCTGTTATAAATTTGCTATGGAAAGCCTACTCATGATGCACAAGTGACCAAGCCATGGGGGTAATTTTAACCAAACATAAATATCTTTATACCCAATCAACAAAAACACCATTGTGCTAGGACAAAAAAACCTAGCTACCAAACAAGGCCTACACCAAACAAGGCCTACCTCCATTGCACCCCACCTGCCCTCCAACTACATCAATCCTCCACCATCACAAACCTAAAGACACATATCCCCTCACCCTTTAGCAAGTCCCCGACTCGTTGGACACCTTGTGCACTCTCTAATTTGCTCCATGCAACCCCTACTTTGATTTATTGCCCACTTCTCCACTCCACCCCCATTGTCCCTTGCCAATACTTCTCAATCTACCCCACAAACCAGCCCTAACACTTGATTCCCTCCGCACCACAACAACCACAAAACTTGCTCTCCCCAGCCCCTAGTATCCCCTCATAAGGCACCCTAGAGCCCAATTATTCAGCGATTGAACACAGTGAGTTGACTCAATAATTCGCCTACCCAACAACCATAGTTATCAAATCGTGTATCGGAAGGCGTATCGTAAGATACAAATATTGTATCGTATCGTGTATCGTATCGTGTATCGTAAGATACGATGCAATTTTAAATAAATAATAAAAAAATATATATACCTTTGAAAAAAAGTCATACACTCATAAAAAATATAGCATTTCATTAATACTCCACCAATTATTCAAGTTATCAACATAATCCACTACTATTATAATGCAAAGTTCACAACCATAGTTCACTAATTCAAACTTTAAACACCAAAGAGACTTCTAATCCAAATTTCTAACATCTATTTTGAACTCAATCTTCAATTTCAATTGAAAATGCATCATCATCATCATCATTGTGATCGGATGCCAACAAGTCTTCACTTGTCGTTTTTTTAAAAAAAAAATCAGAGCACAAAACGACGTCGTTTTAAAAAAAAAAATAAAAAAAAATAAAAAAAAATTGCACGTATCGTGCGTATCGTACCGATACGTATCGTATCGTAAAAACGTATCGTGTATCGGACGATACAACGCAAAAACGATACATAACTACGATCCGTATCGTTTTAGGGCTGTATCGTAACGTATCGTACGATACGTATCGCGTATCGTACGATACTAACAACATAGCCAACAACCCTATTCATTAATTAAACCCATCTCTGACCCAACTTATCAATTTAACCATGTTCAACATGTATACATTTAGACATATATGCATGAATATACGTACCACAAAAAGACATAGAAAGATCAGACAGAGAGAGATAGAGTTGTTGGCCTCGCACCGATGCCATTATCCCATGGACCAGAGGAAGGTTTGTCTTCCTCTTTCTTCTTAGCTTGTGGTCTCATCTCTCTCTTGTACATATATGTATCATTAAATATATATGTTTGTGTGCGCTTTGACAGAGAGAAGTGAGACAATTAGGAGGAAGGTTGAGGCAGTGAGGGAGGATGGGTGGAGGGCAAAAGGCCGATGTGATAGAGGTGGGGGGGATTGTAGTAGACTGGTGTTGGGGCCAATGTTTGCATTGTGTGTGCAGGTGTGAATAATGGAGGTGACTCCAAGAGAGAGCAAACTAATCGGTATAGTTTGGCAACATCACAATTTTGGTCATATAATAGGTTTAGCTGTTTAGGTATGATTGGCAATTGGGCTGAAAATTTTCTTGGTCAGAAAGACCCTCATTGGTTGGTCAAATATATGCAAGTCAAATGCAGTTAGTTCCTAATAAATTTTTGATAGAAGCAGACTGAGTGGCTTGATTGAACAATAAATCAAACTTTGATTGTTGCAATTGGAACAATAGGAACTAAATAGAAATGAGTGGTATACTTCGAGCGGGTAAAAGGTAATTGACTCTTAGTTTTTTTGCTAAACATTATTGAAATCACAGTCATGTTTTATCATTGAATTTTATCACCACTAGAATGCTTTTTGATATGATAGTTCTTTTAGTATGATGGTTTTGTGCTTTGAATTTGTTTTCATTTCGTTTCTTGTTCCCCCGCATTTTCAGGGTAAGGATTGGACAACAGAAGAAGCTCACAATCAAGGTAGAGTTCCACTTTTTCGTGTCTTGGTGTTTTATTTGTACTAGTATGTGGACTCCTTTGATGATGTTATAACCTGATTTTTTTTAACTATGTTAGGGTTGGAGCTTTTTTAAGTTATTGCTCCCTTTGTCACATGTTTGGGCTTGTTTATGCTTCTCGGATATTGGTCTCATTTCTTTAATGTTGACTATTTGTGTTTTGGAACCTACCATGCTTTAAAAACTCCATATGTTTTCTTCCATTAATTGTTTCCAACTACATTTTATTGGTGCTTTTTTGTATATTTGGTTGGTAAATGATAGTCTTTGAAGTATTTGAACATTTTTCTAATATGGTTGCATATCCTTCAATTTTGTGTTTGTTAATTTGAAGGCACCTCATTTTTCTCTTTCTCTTCTTTTTCCCCTCTTCTGATAGTTTTTGGTTTCCTATTAAAAGAGGAGGAGGAGAAGAAGGGTGATAGTTCTCAAGTTGAGAGGATTGTAAATTATAGTTGAGTGAGTGGCATGCGTGGAGAGGAGAAGTTAATGTTTTGAGGTTTTGCTTGCATAGAAGAGCAAAGCCAAATATATTGCAGCCTATGAAGTTTTCCCCATTTGTTAGGACAAGGTTTGATGGTCTGGATTCTTTGAATCTGTGGTCGTATGAAAATGAAAACGATAGGAATAGAAAGGCGAAGAAACTTCTTTTGAAATAGTGATAGAAATATTTCACCTTATATGGTTTTGTTTTCAAACCATCATTCTTTATGATATCCAGGTGTCATATTGGTCAACTAGTAATAACCCGTATTTGAAGGCACAGTGCAATTTGAAATTAATCGAACACCGAAAATGACCGCAATAAGTTGAAAATCTAAATCACATCCTTAATACACCACACTTTGCATACATCGTTAATCTTAATAAAGTATTACCAATATAAAGATTCTTTTGAAGACAAATTGCAATAGATAGATGGAAAAAACCCAACTTTAATAATCAAAATGCCATAAATTTTAACAAAAAAAGCATAAAATTCAAAATTTTGAAACTACGTACCTAATTAGATCAAACAATAGCACTCAAAAATATTTATTCAAAAATCAACTTGCAGGGTCAGGAAAAGAAATGTTCATGCCAAAAAGCACTGTGTTATGCTAAATAAAAAAATCACCAATATTTAATCAAAACAGTTTTTGTTCTTTTAAAAAATTTGGGCAGGATTTCCCTTAAAAATAGGACCCCAAGAAAATATCAACTTGTAACGCTAATTACACAATCCAAAGACGACATAGAGGCTTAGTATCAACTAATAATATACAAAGAAATCAATTAGATTCAACCACCAAAAAAATTAATTCCAAATCCAAATAGAAATTTTCAATAATAAAGAAACATAGCAAAGAAAGACAAAATAACTAAACGCGACAATACCCAATTTTTCAACGCAAAACAAATGTGATCAAGCATGTCAACTACTTGCCAATAAAAATAAAATATAAAAGGAAATAAAAAATTAAAAAAAGGATTAACTAAACAACTTGTTTGTACGCAATCATAAAATTATTAGTACCTAAATATCTCAAACACATGAAAATACTTTTGGCCAAGAAAGTCTTGGATACTATTGGTCTAATTACAAATACACCCATGTAGATTGGTCTAATTACAAATGCGCTGCCTCAATTTTTTGAAATTACACTGACACTCCTTATTGTTTACCTACCTATTTCACAAAGTACCCCATCGTTATTGGGAATGTCAAAAGAGTGATTACATCATCAACTTTTTACACTTTAATATCCATATTACCTTCGAACAAAATTAGGCTAATTTGAATGATTTTACTCATATAATCTTGCTACCACAGTGGTAATTTAACCAATCATTTTAATCACGTTTCAAGTGCAACCCAACCATGACCAAAGACATGAGAGAGAGAGAGAGAGAGAGAGAGAGAGAGAGAGAGAGAGAGGGGGGGGGGGGAGAGGTCGATTGTTTAGCAACCAACTATATACCAAAGAAACTCATTTTTAACCCATCCGTATCTCACTTTTTAAAATTACAAACCATAAACACCATAGCCCCTTCAACCATAACAAAAACCATACACCCTTCACCCATAACTAAAAAATTTCAACCTACACCACATCCTAACACCCATTGGTGATACCAACACTCTAGCATATAACATAAGAACCGAAAACAACTCCCATAAATTAACCACCATTTCACTTCATCAATTATCAACGCTGCTTATTAGATCAACTTATATATCATTCAAGTATCTGGCATTCCATGAACTATATGTCAATTCAAATTAATTCAACATTTAGCAAAACCTACAATTACGCTTCAACAAAAAAAAACTACTCAAAACTCAGTTGGTCAATAATGGAGTTTTTTCATAACTTAAATTTCGATTGATGTTAATATGGAAACTAATTTGCATCATAATTCACAACAAATATATTCAACTCACAAGTGTCAATGATGCCATTCACCGACGTTGATGTGTTTTACCATAATCGCACGAAAGTTGAGTTTGGCTTAGATAATCATGTTAGAGATGAAGTCAAGGGCCTCTCAAGCCTAAGGAGTAAGGTCACATGACAGTTTCTTTATTCCACCAAACATATTGAAACCCAAAACTTCGGACCTGTAACAAAAAGAAAAAATTAAACACAAATTAGCATCAAATCAACACTTCCATAAGCATTCACTCCGTGCAATGTAAGGTTATTCCAAAAAAAAAACAAAAAAAGAAATAAGCATTGAGTTTAATGTACAAACACAGGAATTAAAACAACCATAACTTATTATAAGTAGCACGACATATTTGTTCACCAAGTATATAGCAAACAATGGATAATTATGAGAACTCAACAAATAGGAATATTGGTACCCTGTAGATCATCATATAAAACATGAAATCAAATGACCAACATAAAAAGTCAAACACAACAAATTAAAGAAGCACAACTTGGGAAGTAAGATAATGATAGAGAACCCCTTCTTGGCCTACGACAACACCAACTAACATAAGTTTTAAATTTCAACATGTCAAAATTCTAAAGTTTACACAAACCAAAGTGCCAAAATTCTAAATTTCACACAAACAAAAGCAAAAGAATGACAATAAAACGACAAATTGAATAAACACAACTCGTAAGCAAAGAGATAAGTAACCTCAATGGTACCAATGGAACAACAATCAATTCAAGCATATTCAAATTGAACCTAATCAAACCAAATTCAAAGTGACTACAAACCAAGAAAATTTGACATTAATTCATAACTAGGAGTGTGCTAGATAGTAATTAAAACAAAAATGCTGAAGAAGAAAGAATTTCAAGAGCAATACGACAACGTAGGGAAACCCATACATAACAACAATTCATATAAGGTGCACATGTATATATAACCACATATGAAAACCACATTCAGAAACATATAACAATATTATGATAACCCGTGCCAAAAGGGCTATCAAAATATTTGTCACATGCTAGATTGAACAGTAACACAAAGAATGACCCAAGGCAAAAGAAGCAGTGAAGTTCAAGATTAAGCCACCAATGACAAAAAAACCCAAGAAAGTTACTAAAAAGAAAGCAAAATCAATTCACAAAGAGTTTAAAGGCTCGTAAGTGATATAGGCATGTTCAAAGAAAGCATGACCCAAAATACACCAATATCATGTTACAATCCCATTCTAAAATTACACTTATTCACACCCCCCCCCCCCCCAAACACACAAAAACCTTAAGCGATATTAAAAAAGGGGGTTATTTAATCAGTCACCTATTACCCTTCTCCAGAATTCTTAAGTACCGGAAAAATGATAAGTAGAATGCATAACAAAAAACTAAGGAAGTCCAACAAAATAAAATTTAAATTAAAAAGAACAACCTATCCTTCAGATGCACTTTAGTAGTTCATACAAAAATCTCATTTCATAATATGTTAGGCATTAATTAAAACACAAATGGTGAAGAAGATAGAATTTCAAGAGCGATACAACAATATATAAAAACCCTAGACATAACAACAATTCATATAAAGATGCACTTGTGCCTTATTAGTGTAGATTGCGAACTAAACCATAAACCAAGATGATGATAGAAAGAGGTAAAGTAGTTAAATTGCAATTGAATTAAAAAACGAAATGAAGTAGCAAAAGTGAAAAAGTCTCAAAATGAACAATTAGAGACTTGTTAAGTATATCTAAATTATAATGCAGTCCAACCCAAGTCCTAGTACTATAGTCCGAGGAGTAACAAAGAGAACAAAGACAAAATTCAATTAGCATTTTACTTCTTGTATTATGAGGCTCTAGGAAGGGACAATTTAATTATTCATGGAGCAACAATTGCACAAACAGTAACAATGTGCAAATAGAATTTCAAAAGTCAAACGAAAATAAGTTAAGAAACCCAGTAAAAGTAAAATAAGCAAGAGGACCCAATATTAGTTTGTCTAGCAGAGAAGTAACATCAGCAAACATTCTCATCTTAACTCATGATCACCTATAACGTTTGACACCACCACCACCACCAAAATGGCACCACTACCTAACACCATAATTGCATCCAATCACCTAGCATCGAACTATAAACCAATCAAATATCTATTGAATTTTTAAAAATAAAAAAACATAAAAACTCACACAATTGACAATAAATCCAAACAAATAAAACTTATTATATTCCACCATCAATTTCATACAACAATAACCAAATTTCAACTAACATTTCAATTGACAATAAATTTCATAAAATTCACCATCCATAAACTAATACAAAATTTCAACAATCTTAAAAATTAAGTGTTGTGTGTTCTGTCTGTGTGCGTGAGTGTTTGTTCTGTGTGGTGTGAATGTGTTGCAGAGAGGAGGGGATGGGTATTTTGGGTGGGGTTGGGAGTGGGTTATGCAGAGAGGGTAGGGGGTTTGTACAGAAGGGGGAGATTTTTTTTTTTTGGGGGGGGTTGTTAAGTGTGTGTGTGAGAGAGAGAAGAGCAGAGGGTGGGAGGGTTTGCACAGAAGGGGGAGACTTGGGGGGTTTGTTAATTGTGTGTGTGCGAGAGAAAGAGAAACAGAGGGGGTGTGTGTGTGATAGAGAGGAAGTAACTGGTGGGGGTGGGTTGCGCAAAAGGAGTAGGGGTGGGGGGTTTGCGCATAAATTGGAGAGCTTGGGAAGGGTTGTTCGTGTGTTTGTGCAGAGAGAGAGATAGACAAATAGAAGCAAAGAAGAGGGATACCTGGGAGAGCTGTGGCGGTGCGCTGGCAATTGTAGTGTTGCTGAAGATTGTGTAGCACAGAAAGATAGAGAGAGAGAGACGAAGAGATGGCGTGAAGGGAAGGCAGAGAAGCGACATGCCTCTGACAGTGAGTGACTGTGAGAAAAGGTTGGATGTGATGGGTTTGGGGGAAAAAATGTGTGGAATAAAATTCAAAGTATGAGTTGTTTTATTATATAGATTACGTATTACAATTATTGACTATTGATTATCCATTTTTATAATTAAATTGTTCATCATGCCATTGGCAGGGATTTCTAAGGATGAACTCTTTGGTCAATTATTTGATGCACTTGAAAAAATCCACTATTTTAAGAGTACATCTGATGGAAATGACGACCAGGTTCAGCTGGATAGGGCAACAAATTTATTTCATAATGCTCTAGAGGTATGATTTATGCTATAAAAGATTTACTTTTGTTGCACCATGAAAAACGAAATCCTGATAAATTTAGTTACATGAGAAATTGCAAAACTAAACTTCATGCATTCATGCTCGTTAGTATTCAGTTTTTGAACAGTTCCGTTTCAGTGTTCGGTGTTGCAAATTCAGTGTGCATACTATGAGAGAATGCCTTGTTTGATCCATTAAATGACTATTTAAATTTTGGTGTTGCATTTCCTAGTATCCTTATTTTTTTAGAAAAAAACAAAAGATATGTGCAGCTTGCAGCTCTTTCATCTGATATCTCACGCATGCTGATGCTTAGTTTTTCAAAATTTTCGACTGTTAGATTGAGTGCTGCTGCTCATTACAAGCTTTCAATTAAATCCAAGAGTTTTGAACAATAATTCTCCTTTAGCTCTTGTGGGTTATTCATTTTATGTTATTTCATGCTAAAGTTGAGAGAAAAAGATGTCAGAAGAGTTAAATACTATCAATATTCTGAATTTATTGCCAGAAAACTCTCCTTTCGTACCTTCGCTGTCCATTTCTAATTGCTTTTTGTGAAGACACACTTAGGAAGATAAGTGGAAAAGGGTAAGTTTCTAGTTTGTCACTCCTGCTCTCAGCCATATTCTGTGGTACAAGAGTTACCTGCTCTCTTGGTGGTTGATTAGCATGCTGTGAAATAATAGTTTTACAATATTATCGTGGCTCTGACTGCTGCCATTGTTCTTTCAAGTAGATCTACTTAAATGACAGGTGGCATACAATTTGATATGCCTTTTTGAACTTCATATCTTCCGGAAGGTGAACTTCATATCATCCGGAAGGTGAAGTTCATATATTTATCTTATGTTATTAATATTAATTTTAGTCAATTAGTACCTTTAGCTGCGCAGGGAGTGATGCTTGTTTTAGTCCATTTTATTGGCCTAGATACATTCTAGTCGATGATTGAGGTAAAATAAAACATAACTCCATAACCAATACATACAATTTACTATTAGGCATCATAATTAACGCACAGGCATTGCTGTATGGCCTTGTAACATTAGCCCCCAATGGAATCATTCAAGCAATGGAGACGTAGCTATATTCAGAATATTTGTGGGGGATAAAATGAGTCGGAAAATTGCTTGAATGCCTATCCTTGGTTGTCAAGAACGGGGCTGCAGTTAATGTTAGATCCATTATACTGGTTAGTTTGATGGGGGTGTATATAAGTTGATAATTAAGGTGCTTTTTTTGCTTTTTCTTGTGGCATAAACTGTGTAGACAGGACGGATTTGTGTGGGTGATTCTGTGGGATGTTCGTTATGTTTTTTATGGCATTGGGAAAACAAAAGGCCTTTAACTTTGTGGGCATCTGCTTTTATGGCTGTATTTTAGGTAGTGTGAATGGAAAGATTTTGCAGAATTTTTGAGGAAAAGGTTGAGGAATTGTAGTTGTTTAGAGCATCTCTAGCCCTTACCCACTTGTAGACCCAAATTTAAATTTGAGTAAAAAAACCTCAAAATCCATCTCCAACCCTTTACCTAAAACCATACCAAATCAAAGAAAACTCTAACCTAGACCCAAATCAAGAGAGGCTCAAATTCTTTACCCAAAAAGCAACGGCCACATTCCTAGCTCAAAACCCTCCCTGAAAACAAATCTCAAAAGCCACAGCAAGCCTTCTCACTCTGCCTCCCTCCTTTCACATACCCTGTTTTTCTCTTTTCTATGAATACCACAACATCAAGCTGTCGGAATACCCACGGTATAATGGTGGGATGGCTTGTGAAGAAATCAACTCAATTTTGGACTCCACCGATTTCACTGTTCCTTTTTATTTTTATTTATTTTTTTACTTTTTTCTGTACTGTGCATTACACTGGGAGGGAAGGGACTATTGAGATGGAAGGTGGTTTTTGGAGGGAAATAAGTACAGAAAAAAAAGAAGAGGGGAAACAGTTTTTAATGAAAAAAATTGAAGAAATGAGATTTTAGGACAATAAGGGAATTTTTTAAATGATCTGAGTATAATTTGGAATTGTCCATTGGAGTGGTTTGTATGAAATCACGCTTTTCACATAAATTTTTACTCAAATATGAGTAAGGGTTTGAGTGGTGATTGGAGATGGTCTTGGGGATAGAGTTATGTTTCTGACATTTTTGGGTAGTGCTGACTAATGAGTTTCCCGACTTCCCATGCTCGAAATCTGTCCCTTCAGGTTTGTAGCAAGGCGATCCACACGATCTCTAGTCTGCTCTCGTCGAGCCTCTTCGACGGCACTAGCCTACAGGTTCTTCACACTAGCCAGGTCTTTGCCTAACCTTTGGCTCTGATACCACTTGGCACAGCACTAAGCTCTTCAAGCCTAAAAACCATGGCACCTTACTAGCAGTCCACTGTAGCAGAGTAAGCTAAAAAAACCCTTACTATCTTATTAGTAAAGCCTACACATCCTTCCTTAGTGAAAATTAAAGCCCTAATATGCATCCAACATAATCATTTTGTGATTGAGGGAGGTTCTGTTTTTTTTTTCATTTCCTGTTGCTTTTTTTGATTTCTGTTGTATTCGGTTGGATATCTTATCCACCATTTTTGTACTGTCACTATTTGCTATGGGATGAAAGTGTTGCTTCTTATCAAAAAGGAAAAAAAAAGGTGCTCTCATTGAGGCTTCAAATGGTGTAGGCAATTTTTGAGATCTGTAATGCATTTGTGGGAGGCACATATATTCTTGATACTGTCTTTGTCACCATTTGTCTTATTCTAGAGTGGATGGTGAGCCTGGATTATTTTGCAAGTGGATTTCAAGGTGGTGTACGATCATGTTAATGGTAGTTTTCTCTTTTTAGGAGTTTTCTTCTCAGTTTTGAAGTGGATAAGTTTGGGGGCTAGATAGAGGAAGTGCACGAAGGGTTCCATTTCATCAGTCAGGTTCTCAGTTCAAGTACTCCAGAATCTTCTCCAGCTTGAGACAAGGGGATTCCCTTTCACCTTTTCTCTTTCTCAGTGTGATGGAGGCGATAAGCTGATGTCCTCAGGAGCTGACTCTGGTGTATTGATAAGGAGTTTTAGGTTGGGTGAGAAATTGAATGAGAGCAAAAGTGGAGGGGTTCTAAGTGCTTGGCACTGGCCATGCTGTTAGTACCTTTCAGCAACATATGTACCTGAAAATTTGCTTTCTGGAACCTAGTTCCCCCAAAACTAATACCTTTGTGATTTACGTCGATGTTCAATAGAATTCTTACGGAACCCACTTGGTCTGGAACACTGAAGTTATTGTTCATATTTATTTCTTGTTTCTTTAGTTAGTCTTGGTGTTAGGACAAGAATAAAGGAAAAGTAACAAGCTTTTGCCCAGTAAATAAGCTTGTGCATTGCAATGTTTAAAGGAACGACCATTGTGACTAGAACTACCTAAAACATTGTAATGATTTTGGTCTATTTTTCTCTCTCTCATGATATTGTTATTTATTTCTTGCACCAGCTATGGGTGCTAGTTCTTGCTTTTTTCATTCTTCCCTCCAAATTCTTGACAAGCTAAACACATTATTTGTGGCATCAGGAAATGCAAAAATCTGGATGCCAGAGATTTGATCGCAAAACCTGGCTGAGACTTTGAAATCACAAGGTATTTTCCTGCGGCTAGCTTTCGCATGAGTTAGGAGTTATGGGTATTAAAATTTATAATATCATCATCATATATATTTCTGACATGTTTGAGAAATCTTACTCCATTTATTCCTCGGAGTAAGTCATTATAATCCCAGCACATTGTTTTGGAAAGCTTAAATGAATACAATTATGAGCTTGTCATTATACTATTGCAAAAGTATTCTGTTGAAAAACCAATGGTTATTGAAGGACTGGGTTTGATTTCTTCTTGGACTTTTGATATTGGACATATTTATGGACACCAATCTCTCTCTCTCTGCAGTCTGCACACACATACGTGTGTGTAAAATTGTATTTTTGGACAAGCTCTTCTGAAAATATTCTTCAGCGGTGGCTATGTTTCTCTTTCACTTCTTTATTATTCATGCAGTTGTCTTATTGGGTGCTCATGCACAGAGTAACTCTATTGCATCTGCATATCAGGCTCAGTTAATTTTGCTTTCAATATAATGCAAGTCTGAATTTCCTTTTTGCAGGTAATAAGGCCATGCAGTCGAAGTATATATTTGATGCAATTGAGCTGTATACTTTTGCGATTGCACTGAGAGAAGATAATGCTGTTTACTATTGTAATAGGTGCACTACTTACTGAAAAATTCATGATATATGTGTTGAATGTGAAGCCTTATTGGTTGCAACTTAACGAATTTGCTCAAATTTTCAGCACGAATAAGAGTGGGGAGGTGCTTTTCAAATGATAAATAACTACCATGATAACCATCATTTACGGATTGTTTTCTTTCCTCCAATTGTTTATAATCATTCTCAACTTATGTTTTTTTTTAGGGTGAGCAGGTGGGGAAAGGGAGGTGGTTAAGGGTTTGAAGTTTGTATTCAAGTCCTACATGAGTGTAGTGCTACGCTAATCAATTTCAAATCCTGCATGATACAAACAATTTATTTCTTTCTGTCCCTTAGTCTTTCGTATAAGAAGTAACTATTAGCTACGCAAAGGGCTCTGGATGGTCATAATTATCATATCATATAGAATATGAAACCACCCTTCATATATTTCTT